CAAGGTAAGGTCTGTTCCTTCCTTGTCGCCCTTAGAGTGTTTCTTATCTGTATATGATTAACACGTAAAATAAACACCCGATTATCTCTTGCCTTCGGCATGTTCGTGCGCTCCCTTTTGAGAGTCCCGGCTAGCGGTTGCAGCCGACAGTCGAACCCGCTGCAGCGCTTAGCATGATACGCTGCGGAGTGGTAGGTTGAGCGGTCGACCTCCTTGCCGGACGGCGTCACCCCTTTGAGACCTCCACAAGCTACACCTTGAGTAATGCTGCTAGGGGTATCGTGGCCAAGCTTGCGCTGCGGTGCTCTGGGCCCTTCCGGGTGGCACAGTGCTTGGGCAAGAATTACTTTCTACTGAGAGATCAATCTATCGGACGTTGCCAGGCTAACGCAGCTAGCAGCGTTCAAGGAAAGCTCGGTAGAGGCCGCCAAGAGTGTGACGTCAAATATGTTGATCGCCCACTCCGGCCATTAAGACAGGTACAGCCGTTAACATCCATGTTACTTTGGGGCACTCTTTCTGCACTCAAGCGTAGGGTTCTTGTTTCCACCGCCTCAAAATATGGCGTTACGATCAACATTGCCGCCGGGCCGGTGGCAACCGTGGTAACCAGTGTGGTGGCAACGGCGCAACCTGTGCAAAGCAACAGTCGCCAACATCCGATGAGCGTGATCGTCTGCTCCGAGTGTTCTGCGGAAAACGTGGCGTTCACTCGGTTCGCGCTAATTTGACTTCAAAGTTCTGGTGCTCTCGGAAGAGGATGCCTTGACGCTACTGCGCTGCAAAATGGTGCGGGAACTCCAGCAATTCGAAAGTCTTGTCGTTCTTTCTATTCCCAAAGGAGTTCCAAAGCTAGATGTAAAGTTTTGTTTTTCATCGGTTTCGTTTCAAGCCCATTTCATCTTGTGCGATCCTGGTTGCGATTTTCAGTCTCGTGCGGCAGAAACCCCGTGAACACAGCACAAAACAGAACACAACACGAATGTAGGTCGACCCTTTTTTCAATTTTTGAAAATCTGAAGTGGGGGGGTCGACTTATAATCGAACCAAAGCATTCCACCGCCGGCAAAAACGAAACAATCGCGATATCATGAACACCTCGGCTTGTTAAGAGTTCAGCCGGCTGTGCCCCTAGCATTACACTGTTTTGTGCGCTCATTTTACAAATTAATTATATTTTATTTGCGCGAACGAGTATTATTGGTAGCGATTCGCAAATTAATCCGAATGCACGGCGGTGAACAGAGCACGGAGCGCCCGACTCCCGGGGGGGTGACAACACTTCTCGTAAGAGCGCCGCTGGAACAGCCTCACGGCTCGCTTGGCTCGCTCCACTGATCACTCGCTCACCCCGCGGCTTCTCTTCGCAGTTTTTTCGCACGATGCACGGTCGCACATCGTTTGATCGAGTACGAGATCATGCTGGTGCGCTGACTATGTTCATTTATATTGAAACGCGTGATCCAGGCAGTTTAGGTTTTCAGTGCTCGTTTATGGCCATTCTTCACTCAGAAGCAACCAACTGCGCTGTTGGAAGTAAGTTGGACTCGTTGGAGTGGGTGATGCTCCAGTGGAGTCTGCGGTGGCGCGGAATCTTAAAGTGTGACGGCAAATGAAGAAGCTTCCGCTGGCCAAAGTCTGGAGAAGTGGGGATGCCTTCCGTAGTTGGAGGTCAGGTTTGCAACGTATGCCGCAAACATGCGCAATCGGTCCCTACCCGTAACGTCCAGCGCGATTGCCGAGCAAGCGCGGAAGATGCAATTGATTCTGTCATTTGCGAAGTGCGAGATTTCATTGGACGCTGACGACGTGCTTCGAGAAAGTAGCAGTGATGACGACGGGACTGACATCACCAGTGCGGACGAGTCGTAGTCTAGTCGCGGATGGAGTGAGAACGACAGTGAGCCCAGTGAGCAGCTTCAGTTGTCCCGCCTCCAGCGTGAACTTCCTAGTTCCGATAACGCCTGGCCATCTCATGCACCTCGCACGTGCATGTGTAGCCAAAGCACGCCAGAAGGCATCGACCGCGTGTTGGAGGCTCGGCTATCAAAACAGATACTTTGCCGCTCTCACGTGTTTGCAATAAAATGTGCAACTAAAAGAAAAAAAAAATTTTTTATTTATTTTTTTTTTTTTTTGCTGATGTTTGATGTGGGGCGGGGGGGGGGGGGGGGGGGGTCGACTTACAATCGAGCCGACCTACAATCGTGAAAATACGGTAACTGCAAAGAAAAAAAGTTTTTTTTTGAGCAGCCTAATTGGGTCAAGCATGTCAAAAACCATCTTTCCGAGAGAAAAAAAAATTTTTACAGCAATATTTTTTGCGTGAGACCGATTTTAGCTTGCGGCTATTTCGTCCGTTTTGAATCGCGCGCCACGAAGTTGGTATTCCGTGACGTTGAATACCAATCGGCTGCTATACTTCTCATTGGCTAAAAGGTAGTGGGAGCAGCGAGGGGGGATTCTGATCCCGAGAGGATAGCCTCGCTGGCCTCGCCGTCGGATCTGAGCCCACACTCTTCCATGGGCTCTTCCGGTGGTATCGTCAGTTGACCCTTAGGGGCCAACTGCTTTGACGTCTCACCGGGCTTCCTCGGGGCAGTGGTTCGGGGTGGCTGGCCCCGGCCCCGGGGGAACACAGAGGCAGGGGGGGCCATCCCTTCTCGGGGGTGGATGCTGGCGGGCCAGCACCCTCTCTGGGCTTGGGACATCCTGCTGCAGGCACCGTCCCTGCGGGTTCCGGTGGGGACTCCGACGAGACCCGCAGATCGTCCGGAGACGTCTGTGTTCCCGCCGACACCATTACTGGCCGTGCAGGTCCCTTACGCACGACCTCGGCATATCCGCCTTTTGCCAAGAAAGAAAAACGTTTTTTTGCCTCATGGTAGGGAATATTTTCCTTTGCCTTTAGAGTGAGAACTTCTTTCTCTTGCTTCCACAGTGGACAGGAGCGAGACTATGCCGGGTGAGGACCGTCACAGTTGGCACATTTCGGATTGTTATCGCAGGTGTCAGCAGCATGATCTCTGCTGGAGCACTTGGCGCAAGTGTCGGCTCCCCGACAGCTCCGCGACCCATGGCCAAACCGTTGGCACTTGAAGCACCTCTGAGGGTTCGGCACATAGGGCCGTACACGGCACTGTAGATAGCCTGCCTTCAGAGTTTCAGGTAGTGTTGTGTGTTGGCAACCGAGGATATCCAGGGATGCCGGTGAACTGGTGCACGCGCGCATGCACGAGACGTTCGACTGCTCTGGCCCCAACCCGGTCGGTTGTGCCCGCTGTATGCTGTAATGTATATATTATGTAAAGATTAAATACACAACATTGGCGACGAGCCGGCGGCGCGACAGTGAAACAGCGGATGTTTTCGGCATCTTCCAAATGACTGCCGAGGAACCTGCTATCCGCGTGGTCGTAGAAGTGAACGGGAACCCTCTCGAGATGGAAGTCGACTCAGGAGCGGTGTGCTCCGTGATCAACGAGAGAACTATGCGTCAGCTGCGGTTGTCCAAGCACAAGCTGTGACCGTGTGAACTACGTCTTCGCACGTACAATTAGCAGGAATTGAAGGTGCTAGGCTCCGTGATGGTCCAAGTCACCTATAAAGGGCATCAAAAACGACTGCGTCTCGTCGTGATCAAGGGAGCAGGCGTAGGCTTGCTTGGCCGAGACTGGTTCAAGGCTCTTGGGATTGAGCTGAGAGTCAATCAGCTGGAAGAAGCAACGAACAATCAGAGCCCGTCCAGCGCAGCAGTGCTGAGTCGTCACGCCGATGTTTTCCAACCAGGTCTAGGCAAGAGCAAGGGACCACCAGTTCGAGTCGAAGTGGAACCGACTGCCCAGCCCAAGTTTTTCAAACCGCGTCCCGTTCCCTTTGCCTTACTACCAAAAGTGGATGAAGCCTTGGACAAGCTCATCAGGCAAGGCATTTTGGAACCGGTCCGACATTCCAGTTGGGCAACTCCAATAGTACCTGTGGTAAAAAAGGATGGCACAGTGCGAATCTGTGGCGACTACAAGAGTACGGTAAACCCTGTGGTCCGTTGGGAAAGCTACCCCCTGCCCACACCTGAGGAACTTTTCGCGAAGCTGGCAGGCTGTGCAAGGTTTTCCAAGCTTGATTTAGACCAAGCGTACCTGCAGCTGACAGTTGACAGTGAGACAGCTGACCTTCTCACCATCACCACACACCGTGGACTTTTCCGTGTCACGCGCCTACAGTTCGGAGTAGCTGTTGCAGTCGCTATTTTTCAGAGGTACATGGAAGAGCTGCTGCAAGGGCTGGAAGGGGTGCAAGTTTTTCTCGATGACATCCTGGTAGGCGGTAAAGATGAAGCCGAGCACAACACCCGTCTGCAAGCTGTGCTTCAAAGAATTCAAGACGACGGTGTCCGGCTAAAAAGGGACAAGTGCGTTTTTGGAGTGGATGAAGTTGTATTCCTAGGATACAAGGTCAGCAAGGCAGGAATACAGCCGACAGACGACAAGGTCAAGGCTATCCATGGGGCGCCCGAGCCAAAATGCAAGAAGGAGTTGCAAGCGTTCCTAGGGGCACTCAACTTCTACAACAGGTTCCTACGGGGAGCGGCACACACTTTGGAGCCCTTGTACAGGCTGCTCGACAACGGCCATAAGTGGAGATGGACTACGCAGGAAGCAGAGGCTTTTCTGCGGGCCAAGCAGCTACTGCAGTCTTCGGACGTCCTTGCCCATTACAGTGTCCACCAGCCACTAGTCATGGCATGTGATGCCTCTCCGTACGGACTTGGGGTGGTACTCAGCCACGTTGATAGCGAAGGCCGGGAGGTACCGGTAGCCTATGGCTCTCGAACTATGACAGCTGCCGAAAGGAACTACGCACAGACGGACCGGGAGGCTCTGGCGATAGGTTTTGGAATACGAAAGTTCCACAAGTTCATCTACGGTCGGCATTTTCGGATCGTGACCGATCACAAACCTCTACTGGGACTCTTGCATCACGCAAAACCAATGCCTCAAGTGCTGTCGCCGAGGATGTTGCGATGGTCGTTAATGTTGTCGGCTTACGACTACGAGCTGGAGTACAGGCCTGCTCATCAGCTCAGGAACGCGGATGCACTGAGTCGACTGCCTCTAACTGTGGAAGACAGCTCAACTGACGAGAAACTTTTTGAAGTCCGGATGCTGGAGACTGCGCCGGAGATTCCGTGGGATGCCCAGAAGATTGCCCGATGCACCCGGAACGACCCAACCTTGTCCAGAGTTCGACATTGGACGGGGGTTGGATGGCCTCAAGGCAGGCTGCCGGACGAGTTCAAGCCATTTGTTCGACGGCAGCACGAGTTGTCGGAGTATCGGGGATGCCTGCTGTGGGGATGTAGAGTCATCATTCCAGAGCAAGCGAGAGACCAGGTTTTGGAGCTGCTGCATACCACGCATCCCGGGATCGTCCGCATGAAGGCGCTTGCCAGAAGCACAGTTTGGTGGCCGGGTATCGACCAAGATATCGAAAGGAAGGTCCGAATCTGCCTGCCCTGCCAGGAGACAAGGCCGCAACCTGCACGTGCAAGACTGCATCCGTGGGAATTTGCCAGAAACCCATGGTCCCGAATCCACATCGATTTTGCAGGACCCTTCCAAGGAAGGGTTTTTCTTCTGGTGGTGGATGCGCATTCGAAATGGCTGGAAGTCATCCAGATAGCATCCATGTCGTCAGCAGCAGTGTGTCAAAGGCTGCGAGTGCTGTTCGCAACACACGGTGTTCCCGACACTATAGTCTCGGACAATGGGACAGCGTTCGTCTCACAAGAATTTGAAGAATTTCTGCAGAGAAACCAGATCCGGCACGTTAAGGTGGCGCCATATCATCCATCATCAAATGGCCAAGTGGAGCGCATGGTCCAAGAAACTAAACAAGTCCTCAGGCGCATGGAAGGAGGCGACATGGCCACCAAGTTGGCCCGATTTCTTTTGAGTCAGCATATTCTCCCGCACTCAACGACCGGAAAGAGTCCGGCGGAATTGTTGATGGGTCGGAGACTCCGTAGTGCACTGGACCGGCTTCACCCAGACCTACAAGCAGAGATGGTGGACAAGCAAGAGGAACAAGCGCTGCGGGGAAGACAAGGTGTACGCGAATTCGAGCCGCGAGAACCAGTCTTCATCCGCAATTATTTAGCAGGCCCCAAGTGGCTACCCGGTATCATCACTGAGATCACCGGTCCGGTGTCTTACAAGGTTCGCACCATCGACGGTCGTTTCTGGAAGCGGCACGTGGACCAAATCCGGAGACGGGAGTGGAGCACATACCTGGACGAGGAGGAGCCTACGACAGAGCTGTCACCTCAGCAGCTCTCCTTACCAAGCGAGCCATCGCTTAGGAATGAATCGGTGGAAGAGTGCCCACCATCTACGAGTCAAGCGGACTTCCCTGAGGAGTCAACCCCAGTGGCAACACCTCCAGCTTCCCCACAGCGTTCACCTGCTTCACCCCATGAACCGAGGCACCAAACAGTGTTGCCAACTTCAGCGCCTGCGCAAGAACAGTCAAATCGTCCCCAGCGACAACGGCGACGTCCCGACTACCTAAAGGACTATGTGACCTAGGGGGGAGGGATGTTGTGTGTTGGCAACCGAGGATATCCAGGGATGCTGGTGAACTGGTGCACGCGCGCATGCACGAGACGTTCGACTGCTCTGGCCCCAACCCGGTCGGTTGTGCCCGCTGTATGCTGTAATGTATATATTATGTAAAGATTAAATACACAACAGGTAGTGTGGTCGAGTCAAAGGTCAAGATGATGTGTTTGGTTTTTCTTTCAACACCATCTCGGCGGATGGTGATGCGGCGCGCAGCTACAATCCCTTGACCAGAAAGGCCCTTAACGATTTCAGCCTCAGACATTACAAGCAAGTCATCCTCAGAGATGACTCCCTGTACGGTGTTTAGCTTGCGATGCGGTGTTACGCTAACTTTGTAGTCTGCGACGGCGTTCAAAGCTAAGAGAGCTTCACTTTGTTGTTTTGTATTAATTTCAACAAGAAGGTCACCCGATGCCATCTTTTTGGCATTAAAATTCATTCCAACAATACCTTCAAGAACTTTTGATACGAGGAAAGGGGATAACTTTCCAAGTGGCTTTTCGTTTTCCGAGTGTAATACAAGGAACTTTGGGAATTTTAGAAATTCAACACGTTTTGCGGGAATGTCTTTTGCTTCGGTGCGGACCCTTTTCAGGGCCCGATCAGTGGTTTTTTGCCTGGAACCCATAAAGATGGGAGGAAAGTTCAGTGCCCGGGTGCACCGCCCACCACAGAGCCCAACGAGGGGGTAGGTAATGTGCCATAACAAGAAGGGCTTGGCTGACACAATTACTCTAACAGTGCTGCCAGGGCACTATAACCGAGTGTGGATGCAGGGACAGGACCTGTTTCCACTCAAGGTTCGCCCTTGCCGCCTAAGAAGGTGAAAAAGGAAAGAAGAGAGTGCAGAAGAAAAGAGAAAGAGGTGGAAGGAAAAGTGAAAGAAGGAAGAAGAGGATAGAAGAGGCGACTGACTGAATCATCCTAGTCGGGCCAAGCCAGGACACCCGTCTACGAGAAGCAGGGGTCGAAGGGGTGTATTGCCTCACCCGGGGGGCCCCGAAGGGCCCAAACATACCCCGGGCTCAGCTCAACCACCAGGGTCCCCTTTTCCCCGGACACGGGTACGCCACGCATAGCCAGACGTGGGTGGGCGAACCCACATGGCTCGGGGTTCGTAGTGACGCCACTCACCAAGCACCTACTAAAGTAGGTGTCCCCTGCGTGCGGGTATGGTGGCCCACGTGGCTGGGGTCCATGGTGACGCTACTGACCAAGCACCTAGCACCTAAGGTGCAGGCGCCCCCTGCGGGGCTCGAGGTCCGTGGAGATGCCACTCTCCAAACACCTGCTTTCACAGGTGCCCCCTGCGGGAGGGTGGAGGGAAAGAGAAAGAGAAACATGTTTTTTAGCCGGCAGCGGAGGCCGAAGTCAAAAAGAGGGGGGGATAATAAGGGAAGTGACCTTGAGGAGGGATTAAATGGCGGGCGACCCTACTTCAAAGGCGCCTACGTTTGTCACATTTCCGGACGCAGAAAGGAACCGTCGGCGTCGGAGAGACAAAGTGATGGGGACCCGATGTGTTGCAGCGAATAGCTGCATGGCGAAGGATTTGATAATCTTGCAGCCGTATCTTGACCTATGTGTTCCAACAGTAGTGGTGGCCGAAAACTCTGGTTTGCAAGAGGGGCAGGAGCAGACGTGCTAGGCTATTGGATGTAGGGAATGGAGGGATGGGGTTGGAAGCCGCCTGTTTTACCTCGTTGGCGTGCTCCCTCAGGCTGTCGTTTAGACAACGGCCTGTCTGACCGATGTATTGCAAGCCGCACTTGAGTGGGATCAAGTAGACGCTGGCCTGTCTACAAGGGACGAACTTGGTAGTGTGTTTTTTGGGGCACGGCTTTGGGGCAGTTGGTTTGTTAACCTTCCTGCGGAGCGAGGAGAGCCTGAGGCGACATGAAAAAAACACCTGCATGTCATGTCGGAGTGCTAACGATTTGATTCTGTGGGAAACGTTGTGCACGTATGGAATGCATGCGAAGCGGGATGTGCATGGCCTGCCTTTAGGTTGTGTGCTGGTGGCCTGGGCTGTCATAATGCATTTTAATCGGGTCTCGAGTAAGTTTTTTGGGTAGCCTGTGCTTTGATGAGGCGGGTGAGCTGTAGGGAGCAGCTCGTCGTGATTAGGTGAGGGCATGACTTGGATCGGGACGATGTCAGAAGGTTTTGAACGATTCCGCTTTTGACGTTTTTTGAATGGTTACTGTGAAAGGGAAGCAGTGCTTTGCATGATCTTTGCTGCATAGACCAGCAAACACTGGACTCCGAGGGGTGAAGGCGAAGATCCAAGAACTGTAGTCCGTTCTGTGTGGGGGCCTCGCTGGTAAATTTTAGACCGAACGAATTATCTGAGAATATCTGCGCAATAGTTTTAGGATCTGAGGTGGCTTGGTGAACGATAAGGTAGTCATCTACATATCGGAAGACGGATGTACCCTGGGCGAGAGCTGTGAGGGCTTTGGAAACCCCCCTATCCACCAAGAACAGGTAGACCTCACTCAAGATGGGGACCAGGCACGAGCCGATGCAAACCCCTGTCTTCTGGGCAAAGACCTTTCCCTCGTGCTGCACTAGGGTTCAGCGTAGGTAAAGGTCGATGAGGTCCAGAAACCCCGATAGAGATCCCCGCTAAGTTCTGGAACGTGACCGTGCCGTGGACTATGAACCACCAGTATGGAGATCAACTTCGCCAAAACAAAAGTTTGCAGCCCATCTATGGCAAAAACATCATTTGCCTTATTGGCTTCTTGCTGTCTAAACATCCTTTGCTATGCAACAAATTGGATTTTGAATGCAAATAAGCTCTTGTTTATCTGAGAAAAACAACACAAAAGATCACCGCCAGTGCTCTGCTTTAAAGCATAAATGAGATGTCTGTGGCCATTCACGTGACTGAGGCCACTGAGAACAACAATAAGTGTTAGCACAGTGGAGAGCGAAATCCCAATGCCAGTGCTCTGTTTCAAAGTATAAAGGGGATGTAGAAAATCTGCCCAGCAAACATGTTGAAAATATTTGTTTGCAAGAACAAGATTTGTTTGCGCAGGTCTTAATGTCAATGAAACGATGGGATGCGATTGGTGGCGGAGGAATACAAGATTCCTTATGGTAAGTTTACACTTGCGGATTCGCTAGCGAATCTGCCCAGCTTTTGCCGCTGGGGCGAAACACTGGGTGGAAAACGCAATGGTGAGCCATATAGGTTCAGGATCTATTTCTGCCGCCAAGCGAGGCATTTCACTGACTGGAAGTGACATTTCTGAGCAGCGCGATGCTGCCTACGTTATGAGTATGCATTCTTGTTTGTTTTTGGCAATGGCATTGAAGACATTCAGTGTCACTGGCATGCCTGGGAATGAAGACACTTCAACCGCCCCATACTCAGTGGAGATGTTAATTGATGTTGTGAAGAATTATCACTGTTTTTACAACCTTTGGAATGCATCCTACAAAGAAAACAAGTATAAAGACAAACTATGAAATGAGATCCGTGCTGGATTCAGATTGACAGGTATGTGCTCTCAAAATCTTGCAATTTTCAGAGGGAGCGGGTTTGGACTGCAGTGTGCCGTAAGCTTCCTGCATAGTTTGGTATTATCTTGTGAATTGCCAGCTACCTTAGCATGCAGCCCCGATATTTGTCATGTGTTCTTGTAACAATGCACCGGTGTGTCATGGGAACAAGGAAACAATGTGGGCATGTTGGTTAACTAAAAAAAATGCATGCAGCACACTATTGATGAAGGAAATTGCAAAATGGAGCGAATATGACAAGTGCTCTTTTGTGCTGTAAAAACAGTGCTAGGTCACGTCGGTCATGTACGCCACAACCATCGTCGGTGCCGAACAGCAGTTGTAAAACCACTGTATGTTGTGTTTGCAGGACAAAAGTGCAAAAATTAATATAAAAATTGGAGGAACTCATTTACGAAGGTGAGAAATGGGATACCAACATGCGTGAAGAGTGGAACAACAGAGCATGGTTACCTCGTAAGTTGAGGAAAGGCAACTATCCGAGTTGTTTGTTTAAACGGATTGAGGCAAAGGAGAGCCATAACAGAGAGTGCAATGTTTTCAGCGTCGTTCGAGCAAACATGCTCGTGCTTGTATCAAAGCGCACAATTCTATGCATTCCAAATTCACTTACTCTCGGTAATACTCCTCGTCATACAAGCGAAGAGATAGGAAGGAGGCAGCTAGCTTGTCCCGTCCTTTGGCAGTCTTGTAAACATGGGCGAACCCACCACCGCCAACGGCGACTTTGCTTTTTCGGTTCTCGCTGCTCCTCTTTCTCCATTGCAAGCAGGGAAGACAAAAGAAAAATCATCACAATCTCCTCTTCTCATCTACGTAGTCATCCATCAGCTTCGCACTCTTTTTTTCTGTTTCTGAAGCAGCATCAACGTGAAGCTCACGCCTACTCGTCGAGCCAAAAACAGCGAGACTGGGGAGCAGCAACATCCGGGAGAGACAGCTGAGGTGGAAATTCTTGCGCCTCCTCGTCATATTTGACGGGATGTTACGAGAACAGCTGCCGCAGCCAGCGCCGCCGCTCGAAGGAAATAGATGTAAACACAACCCACTCATCGCCACTCCCGTGGCAGCAAATTTCTTCTCAGGTGTAAACGTGCCATTTGAGGGGCATCCCTGCTGCCTTCTTGACTTGTACCCGACTATAGACAGACCAGTCTGTCTATGCTGGCTAAACCTATAAACTAACTTCATAGTGACATGACCATAAAGGAGGAGCCGTAACTTCGCAAGCACCCAACTTCATTGGGAGGCATCTTCACTGTGACGTCACGATTCACGGCACTTGTTAACTCGGAACTTTAAAGATTTTGAGGACCGAAGAAGTCCCCAGAGGGAATTCCGCGGAGTCCGCACGTCTACTGCGGTGCTATTTTTCGGGAAAAAATCTGAGCAAATATACATATTAAATTCAGAAATATCCGTATTCAAAATACATAAATGACATGCATTATTTTATTATAAATGGTTTGCGTTTATTTGTAACTCTGGGACAGAATTCGAGGTTCGCACCTTTCCTGCTTTGTTGTTTTTCTTTGAACAATGGCGGGCAACAGCGGCTGCGCCTCAACTCCGGCGGCGAAGAGGAAAAAACAAGAGGCTCGCTGCTCAAACCGACAGCTTAACATGCTAATTGATTTCATATTTTCAAATCGAGTGTTGGTCCGGGCAGCAACAGAGTCCACGCTGACCCCCGCGGAGAGGACGGCCCTCTGGGACGTGATTACGGGCCACCTCAACATGGAAGGTCCAGCATAGAAAGAGTCGAATGAAAGAATCTATGGAACGCCCGAGTGTGTTCCGCACGAAAACATGATGGCCTGCTGGCGGTGGAGGCGGCACGGACGGGCGGTGGGGCCAACCCGGTGGGTCCCCTCAATGAGGTTGAGGCCTGGATCCTGGCCATTGTCGGGAGGAACTCATCGAGGGGCTGCGGTGGCTTGCGTCCCAGGCAGTCCCTCCCGCCGCGGGCAAACTGTATATGATAAACTATGGCCTGACCCTTGTAGCATTTGGAGATTGTTGTCAGGTCTCGTTCTTTACCGCTCCGACTGCTGCCATTCAGGGGACTCAGGGATAGGCATACGTGGCGACTCAGTCGCCCTCGTGTGCCCTGGAGTTAGGGCGGTCATGTCCTTCTGGCGAGTCCCGAGTGCATTTTTAAACAAGTTTCTCCGGTACTATTCCTAACGAGACATAACACTATCATCACCGCCAGCGGTGTTTCAGCTTTTCACGATGGGTAGTATAGCAAGCTCAAAAACGGTGTTTCGAAAGACAAGCGAGGAAGAACGTAGGGACAGGGGGGCTATGTTGCACGTTTTGGACTCCCAGGAGATTAGGGAGAAGGAAGTTATGCCAACAACGCTCTTTGGATGTTGATTGGTGGAGTCGCTGATGACGCGTTGCGTGGTGCTGCTAAGATGTGTTCATTCACACCTACGTCACTTCCTTCTCCCTAGTCGCCTGGGAGTCCAAGACGTGCAACATAGCCCCCCAGGACAGAGCGCTACAACTTACATTTAATACTGTAAGAGAAAGACAAAGTAGTGACATTTAAAGAGAAAGACACGAATAAAAACATGAGAACATGAAACATCCTGTCTTTAAGTTCTTCCTCGCTTGTCTTTGCGCTAATTTTACGAAGACATATAGCCAACTAGCCCACCAGATGATTTTAATACTGCATTGTTATATTTGCCATGTGCACTGTCAGGCAAGGAAACAGACAGCCTGAAAATATCCAATGTATTTTATCAACATAGAAAAAAAAAAATTCTACAAGTTTTTTTTTTTTTTTTTTTTTTTTTTTTCTGGGGAATTTTTTGGAAACGCTAAAAGCCGATCAACAAAACAATAAAAACCGAACCTGCCTCGTGTTGAGGGATGTGAGGGATGTACTGCATGTCATCAGGGTGGGCGTTCTGCGGAAAGTAACAACGTAACGAAAGGATAACTCACCTTGCGGTCACCTTGTGTGTGGCACGTCTTGCATCCGAACAGTAATTAGTAATCACATCTGCAATCAACACAATCTATTCACCTCGAACAGAACACACACAGACCAACACAGACACAGCCCCACAGCCACTGGGCCACTGTGCCCGCAGCCTGAGTTGATGAAGTAGAAAACCTGTCCCCACCACCAGTTCCCGACTTTTTGCACCAACTGTTCGGTGCGCCAGCCTTTTTACACGCTACGGCAGCTACGAACCCGTTCTCAGCAGTTCACGCGAACGGGTGGTTGTGTGTAGAAAAGGTAGCGCTCCAAACAACAAGCTAAATAAAAAAACAAAAAACTCTTTATTTTTATGTTTGAGGTCAAATATTGAGTATTACATGCCTATACGTAATAATGTAGCGCCTGGTATAAATTAAATATTTTCTGTGTATTTTAGAGAGTTAGAAAATATTACAGATCATTTGATGAAACCTGGATGAAACACACAAAGGCCTTCACAAGTTGCGTTGTCCTAGCCGCCATTGGCATCAATTTTAACTGCCATTTTTAAATCTCGCGAACACAAAACGCGATCGACGCGATCACGCGATGTCTGGGCCGCTGTCTCGGCAGTCCTGGCAGACTCAGCAGACCAGGCAGAAGACCGACCCTGCTTGGACGTTCGGCCGGTTGCAGTCCATCACCATGGTGGCACGCGAAAAAAGGGAAGCACTTATCGAATGGGTGAGTGGAATCTCGAAATTAAGTTAGAACTCCGGCGTGTAGCATGCATTATTAACACCTTGTTTGTTCAAACGGTATTTTATTTTCTTCGTCAAAGATTCATACACAGCTGTTTTCGGAAACATTCAAACTATGTTAAGAAGTTTCAAGCTACGCCTACTCACGAGCAGCAGCGCTGCAGCACGCGACTTTGTAGTTGTTTCTACTTGTAGTTCGTAGCTTCTGTACTTCGTTTCAGCTCAACTCAACCTAAAATAAAAAATAAATTAAGGTTACTCCCCTACGTACTAGAGGGCTGGGTTTTGCGTCCGGCTGTGCGAAATCATTCAAACCAAATTGAAACGATGCTGTAATCATAAAGTCTGGTTGTAGTTCCGCGTCCCTCCTAAGGCTTCATGGCGGAGGGGGAAGGACCAAGTTGCATTCATATAATGGATATTTTGTAGAAACGTTAGTTCGAGAGTAAATGGTTCTACGTACAAGGCGTGAAGTAGAGCTAGTTGGTTCATAATGCAAACTTGGAAACAGTTAATCGTGTTGGGTCATCTGGGCCTCGGTGTGTGGTTAGCCACCGAACCCGGTATGTTACGTGCGCGACGGGTGTCGTGTGGCAGGGTTTACATAGGTCAGACGGGGAGGTGTGTCAATGTTAGGGCCAGGGAGCATTCCCCTCTCTTCGGTCTTCACCATCGGGAGTCGGGACACCTTGCAGTTCACTGCGATAGGTGTTTGTGTTCTCCGGTTTGCACGGAGATTAAGATTCCGGCTCGTCACCGCAACTAAGTGACTAGAGAAATTGATGAGGCGTTTTTTTTTTTTTTTTTCGATTTTTCTATTTACGGAGCGGACACGTGTGTTATTGCCCCGTCTGTGGCTTTGGCGGATGACGAAGTGTCTTTCATTAAGAAATTCGGCAGATTGGTTTAAGTGCTCGGGCGTGCCTCAAGGGGGTGGATTATGTTTTATCTATCTTGTATCTTTTATGTTTTCCTTTCTGTTCCTCGCAGGAATAAACTTCAGTTGACAGCGTTGTGTTCGTTCACTTCTCGTTCTTGTCCCTTGTCTGTTTCGCGCTGTTTCCAAGTTTGTAAATGGTTCTAGTACCCTTTTTCTCTTCCTTCTGGCCGAGCAGAGAGGGAAGATGGTTTCTTTGTGTCGACTTCGGGGCAGAAGATAACCCACGATGGGGACAAAGGCGAGTTTGGAAAAGTGGGAGCTCCTCCCGCTGGAGGGGAGGCGACCTCTTCCCCAGTGTTCACTCTGCTAAAGTGGAAAGAGGTGGGAGGAGCTTCCACTTCCTTCTTGACCAGTGGGCGAACAGGATGTAGCTGATGTTTTGGGTGTGGAACGGGTGGAAGAGGCCTTGTGCACTCGTTGTTTTCTAGTCTCGAACCCAGTCACGTGTCTAGGTGGCAACACATATTCGCCAAAAGTTTGATTCGGATAAGTTCAACACCCAAAAAAAAAAAAGGCAACTTTTTGGGTTTTTGGGGGTTTTCTTGCAGTTTATTTTTAGGTTGAGACTGCACCCAGAGCTATAAGCGTGAGTTAGCCTGCGCTTCTGTGTTTGACTAGTGCATTTCTAGTGCGAGTGCTCGTGTCATTGGCTGTTTGTCAGGATTTGATAAGTGTTTGCTGCATGCGATAGGCCCGTAGCTCTCAAGCTTTGAGCAGCGCTCCAGGCAAGCAAAATCTAATATCTGTGGATCGCGTCTCAAATGTTCGTCATTACGCGTCCCCACTACAGTTTTTCCGTACTCCGTTCCATCAAGTACCAGCGTAGCGGAGGCTACAAGAGCGAGCTCAAAGTCTGCACATTCCCCTGAACGAGCATCGTTCAGGGGAATGTGCTTTTGCAAGCCTCGGCTTCGCTATCACGTGAAGTGAAACACACATGCTCACGGAAGCTATGAAAGAAAGCAATTCAAATATTAAAGTAAAGGAATGCTTAATGGGGAAACCGAACAAATGGTCCTAATTACAAACTAGGAAAAAATTGTCCCAGATAAATATCGCCAATGTGGCTTCTGCGTTTTCGGATAAATTTGATAAAATCCAATAACACTCACCTGTAAACATTTTCTGTTTTCCAAATTATAATGAAAAGCTCCGAATTTTGAGGCTGCCGGTTGCACGAACTGGACCAAGTCTTGTATTTTTCTGGGAATGCACCTACAAAGGCATCAAGCTCTGCTTGTTATGTGTGCTACCACCACGTGTCATGACGAGATGGAAGTAATTCGAGTTTCATGGCTTCAGCAGGGGAGGCACTTACTTGATCGAACAATGTTTTAGCAAACGCCCACGTTTCACCGAGTGACACTTCAACGAATGGTGGGCTGCCACGAAGCGGCGTTTACGGGTGGATCAAGTGGGTTCGCATTTTCATAATGAGCCACCGCAGACTGTGTCAGCGAAGCAACGTAAGCGTAGCGTAGGGGGTGGGTTAACACATGCCCCCGTTACTCGCTCAGATGTTGCTGTTTGCTAAATCGTCATTCGCTCGTGTGATATAGCCCGCTTCAACAGTATGACGAAAAGTACTCATTTTTCGTTTCAAAAATGTTTTGTTCGAAAATATTTTGATGATTTTGAATAAAATTAAGTTCAATACCCGACCACTTTCTTCAAAAAATAACCGGCCTCAAAGTATAGACGAAATCTTTCATTCTACCAGGAAATCACTGATTGCATAATTTATACAGTATATTACATGGTATATCTTAGTTTCAAAACAATCTTCTTACGGGACCATACCTTGGACTTGGGACTGCTAGTTCTGATAGTACCATTTGTTCCGGGACCATTTGTTCCTACACCGATGTTTAATAAAGCGTTGCAACTGCAAGCTGCATTTTTTATTTTCTTCGACGTTTTGTTATTGCGCATCTACAGATGCCAAGATATGCTTGTATTTGAACATGCCGCCGGCGGACAGGGAAAAACCGGTTTTATTCCGTGCGAGCGGTGCCGTTTGCTCAGGCGGCATGTTTTCCGAGGGAGGATACAAATGCAGGAGGCGACATCACACCGGACTCAGATTTTTTGTAATTCAAAAAGGGCCAAGTGGGTTCGCAGTTGCGTTAAAAAACGTGTTTTACAATTGCCGTTATTAAATGTTACAGAAATGTAGCCTACAAAGCTTCTAAATTTCATAATTTTTGACGTCGCAAATCAAAAGAAGCGAGGAGGCGAGGAATAGGAGAAAAGCACCAAAAAAAAAGCGCGCACGCGATATAAACTTTTTTTTTCGATGCGGTATTTTTTTGCGTGTCTAGGACTACAACTTGCATCGTTTTAGTCAGTAAAGAAAAATACGACCCTCGAGGTGGCGGTCCCCCTTTAGGGGGAGGTAGCTGTGAGCTTGTATTTTTTTTTGTTTTGTCAATTTTCATGCTCGAGAACTAACATTTTGGACAAAGGATAGAAATCTAAAAAACGGCGTTTGTGTTTATGTGGCTTTTTTGTCATGAAAGATGATATAATATAGAAATATAGCTCCATAGCTATCTGCTCTGAACTGCCCTAAAGCAATATAACAAATGAAAACGACAAATTTATAAGTAATTTCAAAATGATAGTTATCCTATGCAGACATTTCCACCTTCATTTTTGTACATTTGAAATTTTTTTTGTACTTCACTAAGTTTAACCAAATTTGCCACAAATGTTCTCAACAGAAACAAGCCCTGTAAATGTCGTTTAAATCTGACTAGTGGTTCAATCATTATGGTGTCTGAAGACGACAGATACCATATTTTGCTACACAGTCACATATATTTTTCATAAAATAAAAAAATGCAACTGCTCGAAACTGGACTGGGGTATTGAGGAGCAGAACGTTACCGGAAATCACGTGGCTGTGCAACTTTTTTTTTTACAATGTTTTGCAGTTTTTTTACAAGCCACAAAAAAATTGGTATATTTTTTGTCTATTTTTAGCATTCAGTGTGTGCCTTCGGTGATCCACAACCTTTAGTATCTTTGGTGGTTGTGTCTAAACCATCGAAAACAGCACATGACCATGAAGAAGGGTGTGAGCTCGACTCAAACTGGCCAGTTCTCATTGGCGGTTTTCAGGCGGAAAGAAACGAATTTCAAGACGCTAATTGGGTTCTGGGTAGTTGGGCTCTCATGTCACGTACAAATAAAAACCTTGAAGAGTATACATACCCTGTCAGCACCCCTTTAACCATCTTCATGTTCTAGATGGGCTGCTATGATGTCGAAATCAAGGCACTTAGCGACCTAAGGAGTGGCAGCCTGCTCCTGACCCTGATCTCCACTATGTAAGTTTTTTTTTGTGTGTGTTTTTAGGGGGGGGGGGGGGGGGGTTATGCATGGAAGTGTAGGTACTATTATGCCTTTTTCCATGACTATCCTCTGTCTGCTGCCCAAGGGTTATTTTGTCTTCCTTGCAGAGATCCAGCCCTGAGTCCAGAAAACGTGGACCCGTCCGAAGCTTTCTCCAAGCTTGAAGGCTTCCTCAGCAGTATGCACTCATGTTTATTTCCTAACACTGGGAAGCACACACTGTCGGGCTCGCTTTGTCCTAGCCCATTCGGCTACGACAAACTTGAAAACACAAGTTTGCCGTACTCGCTCCCCGCTTGCATTAAAGGTGGCGGCCCCGTGTTTGGCGTGCAGGCTTCCACGGCTGCCTCCCCGCCCACTTCCTGTCCCGGGCGGCCCACCGAGGTGATGCCAGCCAGCTGGAGCTGGCCACGGCCTCCGTGCTGGCACTCGCGGCCCTCTTCTTCAAGGCGGCGAGCCTCAGCGGGACCATGGAGGTGGCGCCAATAATGCGACTGGCTCAGGGGGTCCAGGAGCGCATCAAAGAGATGCTGCAGATCGTCGCCGGCGCAGAGGACGACGTACTGACGAACCTGCAGGCGCACTTGCAGGGTACGGGTCGCCGCAATTTCTCTCGGTCATTGCCATCGCAGTGCCTGGAACGCGTCCCCGGCCGGTGCGACTACCACGTTCTCAAAAGTGATCCCTCAATTATCGTCCCGACTATGTCGCAAAAGTGTCGCCATCTCGGCAATAGCATGTCGGCGGACAGCCATTCCGCCAAAGGTCGCCCTCCGGCTCGACGGTTCATGGTAGCTTCGGCAGCCGGCCCGCAGCGGAGGGTCGGCCCTTCACATCTGCTCGTCTTTTTCGGCGGTTTTTAACGACCGATTGTCACGATTGTGACATGCTGTGTCCTGCAATGCAAATTGTGTCCACTTTGGACTCGCTTTCGATGCACATGGGGGGGGGGGGGGGGATGCAGTAAACACGCCAGTCGAAGACACCTTCTGGGCACCGTAGTTGTTGGTTTGGGTGGCCACACTTTAGAAATTGGCCACACTTTAGAGTAAGTACGCGTGTGCCATCCCGGAGTTTAAAGCCGTTGGTGCCAGTTAACTGAAACCTTGTCTCGAATCGCAAAAAAGTTTTTCCATTCTTCGTAAATGGCAAGTCTGCGACGGGATCGGGAAGCTGCATCTTTGAGTCATAACTATTGTCAATTGTGCCCCATGAAAGTTGGGTAGTGGAGCATAGCTCATTTGGTGACTGCAGCTTCGGGTTCCTGGTGGGATATGCGCCATGGTGTTTCTTACCGGTTGAAATGGGGCACTGCCGACCTGGTTGTCGTTACAGTTAATTCTCTACGAGAGCATTTGCACTTTTGAACAGAGCGGAGAGCAGCTTGCACATTTTGTCCATTGTGAAATTTGTGTTCGAAGACACTGAGAATAGTAGTTTTATTGGTGATAGTTTTACCCGACGATCCCTTTGAGTTTTATTTGCTAGTCCTCAACTGGCAATGCTATGTGTCTTGGAACTCTATGGCTTTAATCTTATATCTACTACCTGCAATCTAGTGCACATTAGGGGAAACTTGTTTCCACCATCCCAGCTATTGGAACCTTTCAAGAAGTGCAGAGGTTTGTCTGGTAAGCTGGATAAGATATGCCTGGCAAGCCAGAGTTTATTCTCTGACTACTGTTGAGGGGATGATAAAGGGAAGTACAGGTGCAACAAACCATGGACATCTATGGCGCATCCGAACGGGGTCTGAATGCTTAAAAAATCTTTGCTTTTGCAAAGTGCAGCTTTCGGCAGTACTTTGCTGGCACAAAATTTCGGGATTTGCAGTGGTGTGCTATGACATTGTTACCATATATTTGTGTAACAATTTTTTCAAAAAATTTTCAAAATCCTAAACTTTGGGTTTTTGTGAAAATTAAGTTGCTCAGAGCGGTAATTCTCAACCATTGTTTCGTGAACCCCTTGTGGATCGGCGAATATGATAAAGGACCCTGTTCATGGTGAGGGAATGGAAAGTTATAGGTTTATTATGTTAATGATTTGATAAAAAGATACAACTAAGGGCTAGTGTGAAGTAGACTTCTCATTGACATACACATGAGAAAACTCCCCCGAAAATTGGAACTTTTCTTCTCAATTTGAAAAAAAGACAACTTGCATTGTCAAGCTCGACTGACGGGACGGGGATTTCTATACCCTTGGAATGCCTTTGCAAACTCCAATGGGTCCACGAACCCACGTTTCAGAACCTCTAGCTTGGACTATCCTGTGCCAGAACAGGACACTAGTTTCTATATATCCAAATCGGAGATGTACCGAACGTTCACGGGATATCCATTGGCAGATGTTTAAATAACTTATTTCAACTAGTATCCAAAGAATATCTATAAACGGCTGTTCATATATGGTTCTACTTTCTTTAGCAAAAGATTGTAATATGTATAAGCAGATCACGTGCCCATTCAAAGTTTATTAAGAAGTCCAGTATTTTTGACGTACGTTTGGATTTCTTTAGAAGCGATGTGTCGGTGCCACCAATTGATCCTGAATCCAGGATTCTTTGCACATTAAAAATGGCCTCAGATTCAGCTGGTGAGGATTGTTGGGGGATGTGAACCGTAGCAGAAGGGCTGTTTCCGTGCTGGCACATACTGTTCTGATTAGAGACTGTTTGTTAGACCCCCTGTAGCATTTGAGGCCCTTCGATACTCAGTTTCTCTTTACAATAAATTGCAGAGAAGCTGTCAAAGTAATTCCAATGTTGCTAGTGTCGCATGACCTTCAAGAGAGGTGCAGCAAAGCACAGGGAGTGGAGTCACGTGTTACATTCACAGTTCTGGATTCACTTTGATGGCTCGTATCTACAAAACTACATTTTTGAAAACGGAAACCTGTACATTTCCTTTTTTCATGCTGTCTCATCGGGACAGTCGTAAGCAGAAGGTGCACGAACACAGATCCAAACCAGCTCAGATCATCTTTTTTTTTTTTTCTAAAGCTATGGGTGAATGGAACCAAACGTTTTCTGAGGTTCTAGAAAGTATGGTCAACCATGGCTTTTTCTGACCCATTGCGGGATGGCCCTTTTGTGTCGATCGTACTACCCTTTTCACGGCAATAGCTTCCTATGGACACATTCCTGGGATATTGTGTGGACGTCCTGGGCAAAGGCATCCAGTGACGTCATTAACAACGCAATTGCTCCCAGCCGCAGACAATTTCTAAGAAATCGAAAGTTTTCAGTCTGTCAAGACCATCAACCTATAATTGATAGCAAGGGGTTTCTCAACAGTAAACCGCTTTAACGACCAAGCACGGATAGGACCAAATGGAGCGAATTAAAAAAAAGTATGCAGAGAGCAAGTCGTCCTCTTCTAGTGCAGGAGTCGCGGTGACGTCGGAATGACGCCGAGCTCCATTGGCTTTGATCGAAAGGTAGTGGATAGACCTCAATGCCGGATGCCTTGAGGTCTGCCCACTATCTTTTTCAATCGACCAATAAGTGCCCGGCGTTTTGACATCATCGCAACCCTTGTGCAAGAAGCAGACTAACTTGCACTGCACATGCATTCCATTTATTTCTAGCCTCGAGCATTCACGTGGTTTCAAAGTATGGTGAAAGACAACAACCGTGTGTTAGAGGCTGGGCATTCAAACAAGACGCCGTGGCCGTCGCACCATTCTGCCGGTGCATGCGCACGGCCATACGAGTGGATCATCTCGTGTAGTTGTGACCTCGGAAAGTTTGTAGGGGGTCCGAAGATGGCGAATTAGTTACGGCACGGCGAAAAGGCTCTTCGTAGATGGAGTACCATGCCATGCTCAGGAAGTGGGGTAGAAAAGACTACGGCGGCACGAGGACGGAGAATTCCGCGAGTGCTGTGCTGCCATCACTACGACGCACGTCGTGCGGTGGCATTAAGTGCACCCGGACTTCCGTGCTTCTCTCGCTTCATTCTTTCTGAAATGTGCTTAGTTTGTTCTTCTTTAGCGTATAACCATGATGTAACCTCCCACTCTAACGCTGTCTCTCTGCCACGGGGAAAGCGAATAAATAAATGAATTCATCGCAGTTCGTTGCGAGGTTGAACGGAGCGTAATGGTCAACGATGGTTCCGTTTCAGCTTCGCCCGATGCCGAGAGCCCGGAGAGCGTACGGGTCAAGACAAAGCGCAAGAGCAGCTGCTTCTCATACTCGCCATCTCCCGTGCGCCTCCCACTCAAGAGGGTGGTGGACTCTCCTAGTCGCCGCTCGGGTCCGGTAAGAGCCTGGACAGATGCGGGTTGTAGATAGACGTGGCGACGGTTCTGCTATAATGCTTCGAACATGTCTTTCACTGGTGTGTTTAGCGTCCCACCCGCCTGTACATTAAATGTGGCCCCGAAATGGCACCAAACAATATCACGAAAGCCAGAGTGTCATGCTCTCGCATGTCGCGATCATGGCAGTTGAGGATAAATATGCCAGCGCAAAGCGCCAGTATTTCAACGCAACAGCGGTGAAAACTTCCGCAGATTATGATAAAAGTTTCTGTACTGAGTTAAGAAGTGTTCTTTCCATTATCAAAAACAGGTTTCGAGATTCTATTGTGCTGCTATTCGGTGACTTTAATTTTCCAAATATTGACTGGACGACGCTTTCATCATCATGTCAGGAGGAACAGGCATTCGTTGATTTGTCTCTCGACTTTAACTTTGAGCAAGTAATTGACCAACCGACACGCTTGAACAATATTCTTGATCTCTTTCTTGTGACTCATCCAAGCGTGATAAACTCAATCAAGTACATAAACGCCCTAAGTGACCATAAACTAATACACATAACACTAGATATATGTTCACCGCAACACTCAATAACTTCAAAGATTATACTTGATTACAATAAAGCTGATTATTTTCAAATGAATGACGAACTTGATGTGTTTTTAAACAGCTTTTCTGTTGATTTCTGGAGCCGCACAGTAAATGAAAATTGGTTGCTATATAAAAACAAAATGATTGAATGTGTTGACCGTTATGTGCCACGCTTTAATATACTTTCCGATAGCAAGAAACCTTGGTTTAACAAAATATTGAAATCCTTGCGGAACAAGAAGAAACGGTTATTTCGAGCTGCCAGGTATGTCAACACAGAACATGCTTGGTCCAATTACGACACATGTGCTAAACTTTATGTTAATCGCCTACGAGAATTCAAAGGAAAATTTTATAACTGTGACCTACCATCCGTCCTCAAACACAACCCTAAAAAATTCTGGAAGCTTATCGCACCAAATGAAACCACAAATAAAATATCCTTGGCTAACCGTGAAGGTGACACCATTTCTGATGTTGAATGTCCTGTTGTCATGAATAACCATTTTGCATCTATATTTACGCTGGAGGATACGTCAACAGTGCCCGTTATTAATGACGTTAGCTATCAATTCATGAGTCCTATTTCCGTATCACCTTCGGGAATTGAAAATATTATAGATAACCTAAAAATTACTACGTCGGCTGGCACAGATAACATTAACTCTAAGCTTCTTAAAAATACAAAACGCGTGTCCAGTGAAATTTGCGGTCTACTATTTCAACAATCATTGTCCACCGGTATACTTCCAGGCGACTGGAAGATAGGGAAGGTCGTTCCTGTTTTCAAAAACGGAGATCGCCACCTCGCAGAGAACTACCGCCCCATCTCTTTAACTAGTGTTGTGTGCAAGGTACTTGAACATATAATTTTTTCACATGTTGCATCGCATCTTGAGGCTAACAATTTTTTTTATAAGCATCAGTATGGTTTTCGCAAAGGCCTTTCCTGCGAAGCACAACTGCTTGAATTCACCCATGACCTACATCTTAACATGAACTCTAACTCTCAAACCGATGCAATATTTCTGGACTTTTCTAAAGCATTCGACCGCGTTCCCCACTGTCGCCTTTTGTCGAAGCTTTCGTCACTAAATCTTGATTCTTTAACCCTCTCATGGATTCGCAACTTTCTGTCGTTTCGCTCTCAGTATACTGTCTGTGGTGATTTTCAGTCTGACATTACTAATGTAACCTCTGGCGTTCCGCAAGGCAGCGTCTTGGGTCCTTTGTTATTTCTTATCTACGTAAACGACCTCCCAAATGCATTGTTTTCTAATGTGCGTTTGTTTGCGGATGACTGTGTCTTGTACAGAAAAATAAACACTCCAGATGACCACGTACTACTCCAGCATGATCTTGATCGCGTTAACAACTGGTGCGAAGAATGGCTAATGACACTAAATAAATCCAAATGCCAAGTAATGAACTTTACTCGCAAACGATCTCTTTCACAGTTTCCATACACATTAAGCACTTCGTCCCTTAGCGTATGCTCATCCTACAAGTATCTTAGTGTCCATTTTACATCTAACCTTTCATGGGTCACCCATATTAACTCTGTGACCGCTGACGCATCTAGAACGCTCGGTTATATTAAACGTAACTTAAAATCGGCTCCTAACCATCTCCGCAAACTCGCTTACAAAACATATGTCCGTCCTAAACTCGAATATGCTGCCGCGATTTGGAGCCCTCATCAGAAATACCTAACCACGCACATTGAAAAAGTCCAGACTCGAGCAGCACGCTTTATAACATCTTCCTATTCATATAGCATGAGTGTCTCTCTCCTAAAAGATCAATGTGCCCTGCCATTGCTCGAAGTGCGTCGAACCATTTTAACTCTGTGCCTAATTCACAAGTTCTATTATAGCAATCGTTTTTCAAGCGTTACTTTCCTTAAACCCCCTAATAGATCATCTCGTCGAACCACTAACAGTAAGAGTTTTCAACACCTCACTGGGTCAACCAACGCGTTTATTAACTCAGTTGTACCACGTGGCATCCGCGCATGGAACGACCTTCCTGAATCAATAGTCACCATTGCCGAGACTACACTGTTCCGTGCTAAACTTCAATCTTACTTTCTAACCAATGCGCTTCCGATAAGTTCTGTTTCTGTGTAACTTGACAACTTTTTATATTAGTCCAGTGTTTTTTGTTATTGTTTTTATTTTTCGAAATTTGTACTTAGCTGGGTTTTTATTGTATCCTGTGCCTACATGACAACTTTGTGTGAGACTGTATGTGCGTTTGTTCTATTTTCTCTTCTGAATTTATGTGTATAATACCCCCCTTACTCAATGCTCTGGAAAAGAGCCTGTAAGGTATTGTGAATAAATAAAATAAATAAATAAAGTTGTGCCACCGCCTGGATTGTGGCCGGCGACGACACGATGCGGAAATGTCATGTCGTCGGGTGGAAATCGAGTTATCTGGTGCAGAAACATCCCAGTGTTACACGCGTTCCTGGCACCATAGTACTACTCTCTACGATAAACCTTGGTTCGTTTCTGGTTTTATTTGTCACAATCTCATAGCTCGCAGTGTGAGAGAACCAAAAAAATAGGGTATCGCGTCTGCAGTGTGTTGGAATGCCTAGGACTAGGGTAATTTTGTACTTGGGGGAACCCCTCGGGGTCCTCCAAGCTTCCGAATTTTCTAGTCCTTCCCCAACCGCAAGTGAACTGTTCTTCCAGTTAAAAGAGAAATCGAAGCAATTCTGTATTTAAGAAGAAAAAAAAAAACTTGTTAAAGTGTTTTCATTCGACCTCCAAGATCACGAATATCAAAATTAAACTTAAAATTGATTCACCTAGTAGTCGCAATAGCACTTTCAAAATAGTGCTGAGGACCCTCCTTCCTGGTGAGTTCGGTGGGAGGCGAAAATCGTTACGTTTTATACGGAGGTCTCAACATTTCCGCAAGCCGTACCCGGGCACTCAAAACGGTGCACGCAATCCCTCACAAACGGCACTCCTAAGGCTGTTGAAACTTCTGGGGTCACACCCAGTGGTTGTTTTTTCAGTTATTCTCTTGTCTGTTGATACGTTCAGGTCCAATGCTTCCGACATCCAAATTCATGGGACAAACACGTGCTAAAAATCACCGCTAATTTGTGTTTTTTTTTTTGTTTATTTATTTTTTTTAAAGCAAGGGTTTAGTAGATATGAGCCATTCATTCCTGCATAACTATGTAGCAGACACTTCCTAGTGTCTGAATTACTTTTTAGAAGGTCTGTAGGCTTCTGTCCTGCTTTACTGCAACAACGACGAGGCCGGGAGGTGTTTTTTATCGTCTGTTGATCAGGAATGACGTGCATTTCTCCAGATTAAAAGGTCCGAAAACCACAGATCTAGATCGTACAGATGATTGTTCCTGCATTTCTGCAGCTGTGTGCCGCGCTTGACGGCCCGGTGGTATTGCGCGTTTTGTTGCTCTTGCCCTGGCAGAGTGCAGAGAGGGCAAAAGAGATGAAAGTTCTGAGGCGGCAGTTGGAGGAAGAGCTGCAGCGGGCTGCAGACCTGGACAAGGAGATCGCCTCCCGAGACAACACAATCGCTCGAAAAGGTGGGCAAAGTGGACTCCTCGCTTCTAAGACAAGAAAAAGGGTGGACAAAAAAAGCGTGCACCACTCTGTCTATGTGGAAAGCCGGATTTATTTTCTCCCGGTTCTTTGTCTTTGCATTGCCACATCCTCGGTGTGTAAGTTGCCCCCCCAACTGTAAACAGCAGTTTTCATGTAAAAGTTGGTATATGTCACATTTTTGTCTCGCTTCTCCGTAGGGTCGACACAGCAAAACTGCATTGATTGATAAGTTCGCATTTGTGTCTTGTGACCGTGGTATATGTGCAATGCAGCTTGTGCAGCTTTGCCGTGTCCTTAAAAAAAAGAACGAAAAATCAGTCAATTGGAATCCTAAGCTGATCCTGTTTCCAGAGCAGAAGCTTTTACCTGGGTGGAGCAATCTGTGCAGCTAATCTTGAAGGGAATCGTATAACTACGTAGCTTTCAGATAGGGAGCCGGATATTTTTCTTTCTACTCGGATACGCAACTTCTTTGAAAACGCGTTTATAAATGGGATTTTTTCTGCGTGTGCCAATCTTGTCATTTAGAAGGTCTGCTCCTTCGTTATAATGTCGGTATGGACACTTAAGGAATGTTAACGGGGCACTGACACTTCAAAGGTCATACTTTTTTTTTGTCTAAAACGATGCAAGCTGTAGTTTTGGACATGAAAAAAATACCACAATGCAAAAAAGTTTTCCCACGTGTGTGCACCCCTTTTTATTTTTGGTGCTCTTCTCTCCCACTCCTCACCTCCTCTTTTAATTTGTGATGTCAAATATTATGAAATTTGGAAGCTTTGTAAGCGACATTTCCATAACATTTAATAACGGCATTCGTAAAACGTGTTTTTTAACGCAATTGCGAATGCACACGGCCCTTTCTGAAATACCGAAAATCAAAGTCCGGTGTGATGTCGCCTTCTGGTTTTTTATCCTCCCTCGAAAAACATGGCGGCACTCGATGCATGTAGCTGATCGGCGAGTTGGACAAAGCTGCCATTTTAGGGGTGCCCGACGACCTTTCAGACTTCGAAAAGAAAATTGTCAAACGGTCAAAACAACTCGGTTTGGTGTCTGTGTATTGTAGTCTCGGCTGTTACACCTCCAGGGCAGCCTTTCACGCAGAACCGGTGCGACGTGGCCCCCACGTCGCTCACAACAGTTCACTGCGCGTTCCCTTCGACCTCGCACCATTTCAAAGAATTTGAGATCGCTGAAAAGGCCCTAAAAGAGCTTCAAACTCGAAAGTCGAACGTCGACTGCTCGCAGCGATAAGCGGGGCGCACGAAGGAAACGGGTTGTTCGCGGGACGCCAGCGAACACAACACTTCGGATGCGTTGGAAAAACTCAACTCGCAGGACGGCTCAATATTCGACGTCCCTGCACTGGCACGGATCGCGTGGAGACTCTGAATTTGGAAATTGTTTTTTTACTTTACAAATACTAAATTCGTCTCATTTCATATTTTGCGGCCAATTTCCAGGCATCGTTCTCAATCATTTCGGATAATAAAGAAAAATATTATTTGGACATGTCGGTGCCCCTTTAACAATTGTAGTATTGCATCATAGTGTCATTGGCTGCAGGAATTTTCTTGTCCTTTTTAGTTTTTGTTGCTTTCTTTACTTTGTTACCTCACTGTCTTAAACATAGGTTTATAATCTCCAAGGCAAAGTCCTGAAATTGTTGGTTTTAGAAAGGCGTTTTTGGTGACATTTTTTAATGCTAGGGTATCGAGGTGGAAAGTTTATTCTGAGCACCAGTATGTACTCGTGGCGTTTTATGCAACGGGATTTTTCTTTGGTGAAGCATAAAGTGAGAGTGTGGGTTTTCTTTTGCATTTTTGCTCTACAGACCAGGAGATCAAAGTCCTCCAACAAAGGGTCATCTGTTTGGACAGCAATCTTTCGGATGCAACATCGGAGGGTGCGGCGCTCAAGCAAGACATTTCGAGGCAAGGATCTTGACATTCGACATGCCCGTTAATGTGAAAGAAACCGTTTTGATTTATCACAACTGTGATAAATCAAAGCTATTGTAGCGAAAATGCTACAATAGCGAGTGCAGCACTTGCCTGCCTGGCTGCAATGAAACTTGTACTCATGAAGTGAAAGCATTGTACAACACTACATGCTCGTGCTCGTGGCGTCGGCTTTGGTCATACTTGTGATGAAACTGAGTAAAGGTGTCATACTCACTGGTTGGTTTCCAGTCTACTAAATCTTTTAAGGCAGTGCTCTGCCATCTTGAGGCCATTTGGCAGCATACCGTAATATCCCGAGTCATCGCCCACCCCCCTACCGCCTGAAATTCATTAAAAAAGCGGGGTGGGCCATGTCTCGGTGGGTGAGCACAAACACTTGAAAAAAAGCGGAAAAAACCGCCTATTTCTCTCCGCGTATCTAGCGCTGATGCACAAGAGATACATCAAACTCAAAACTCGATTTAGTTTTCTTGTTTTATAGAAAAGAATGCTCACGAAAGAATATTTTACTATAGCGAAGTCCGTTGCTTGCATACGCGCTAGAAACACCGCCGATCTGCATAAAGCGCGAACGTTTGTTCCGTGAAAGAATGTCACCACTATGTTCTCCTAGTTAGGAAAAAAAAAAAAAAAAAGAAAGAAAAGTCTACAAGAAAATAGAAAAACCGACCAGGCGCAACGAGCGAGCGAGCGGACCAAAGAAGCGACCAAGAGCAATCCTGGGAAAGCGGGAAAGCCGGCAGTCGCGTTGGCAAATACTTTGGCGTCGGGCCAAGTCGGGCGCCTTGTCAATCGCAAGCTCTCGCGCAACTTTCTTGTTTGGTGCGTACATACGTGCGTCCGTGCACGGCGGGCTATCAATGCACGGTTGGGACGCTCTGCAAACGTCTGTGTAGGACGTTCCAGCAAAGCTTTATTTACGCGTTGGCTTTGCCTAAAATATTGCACAACCGCGGTCGCGACGGGCGGGAAGAAGGAGCGGGTTCGCGGTGTCCTTACTTCGGCGGAGACAGACTGACTTAATACTCCGCGGTTACATTAACAAACTCTTATTTTGTTATCTCCACGTTTTCTTTTCGCACGGATACACGACCACTTTGGGGTCGCTCACGGAGGAAATGCGTAAACAAAAAGAAGTGTCTTTCCCTCCTTCGTTTTACTTTGTCACTGAGGTCCTCCAACTGTAAGGTCCGCGGCCGCGGCCGCGTCATTCGGGTAGGATGAGTGTTCGCGGATCGCAGAGTCCGTGCTGGGGTATTTGAAGGGGTGGGCGATGACTCGGTGTTTTTTCGGAAATCGATATTGGCCCAAAAAATGGGGTGGGCGATGGCTCGGGGATGGGCGATGACTCGGGATATTACGGTAGTTTGTTTTTGACCACACCACTCTGAATGTGCCCATCCAAATGCACAATTCTTCATGCAGTGACATTTACTTACACCTGCAATTGATCACTGTATCCAATACAAGCAGCAGTCATTCAAACTTGCAAGTAAGCTTTTTCCTTCCCTTTTAAGACGAAGTCGATGGGAGCCGCAAATTACTTCGTTAATTTGGGAACTTTGTAAAATCAAGAAAGTAGTCTTTTGGACGTTTCGTTCGGTAAATACGACGACTTAACACAGTGGCATCGCGAGAAGTACCATGGTATCGATTTCACGCACTGAGGTTTTTAACAATGCACGGAAAAGTCCGCGAAGGGGTCACGCTGCTTGTGCGTTCTAAAATGACGAAGCGGCATTCAACGTTCTGGCGGTTGTGGCACTAATGGTGGCGTCCTTCGATTTCAAGATTCTCGAAAGCGTGCTGGCTGGGATGCCATGCTCTGCGGCAACTTCTCATTTCTTCTGTCCGCTCGTGATAGCACGAATGATATCTGCTTTCTCTTCAAGGGTCAGCACTATTTCTCAGCAACGTAGAACATAGTCTAATAGATATCGTATGCAGAAAGAACCGGTTGTGGGGAGAGACAAGCAACTAAAAAAAACGAAAATCCTAACAAAGCAACAAAGAGCGGAGAGACGGAGATTATCAGTGCCATCTGTTGCACGTGACGCGAAGCAACCGCCGCCACTAGCATTGTCTAGTGTAAGTAGTCGATTCAAACCCATGCGGACATTCGGTGTTCCATGCATTTTCGTTTTGCAGGGTACCTCGGGTACCTTGATTCTATTGCTGGCACGCGAACGGCAAGCTTCGATTGTGATGTAGAATAACTTTCCTTTTGCATAGTTTTTTCGAGTGTGAGGTGCCTTGTCTGAGGGTCAATTTCCTTCGTTATTTTGAGCTCATATAAGCATTAATTAAGCCGTATGGGAAGCTTTAGAAGAAATGCAATTTGTTCGTTAGATTGGGATACTCGTAAGATCCGGGTCCGTTAAATCGAGTTTTGACTGTATATGCTTTCTCAGCTGAAACAGTGCCAGGCAAAGGAGTGCATGGGTTCATACTTCTACCACTAGCCACCCCTAGATGACGCAAGTCAGAGTGCTGTATTTTGATGGTGGCAATGCCAGAGGGAGCAGTAGTAGTCATTTTTCTGGCAAGACAAGATTTGCAGTTGTATTTCCATCTATCAATCAAACAGTCATATATTCAGAATTGCAGTTTTATAAGAAATACTGCGGACGCTAACTCCAGTCTGTCTCCTAGGCACGCGACGTTATGTCTTTTCGATTGTGGTATGCTGTGGACAGGGCAATGTGTTAATCTTAATTAATATTTGTGGTGGTATTAGTAAAAAATAATGTGCGCTTATACTAAAAAAAAAAAAAAAAAAAAATTTGCTCCTCCAAAATTACTTTAGGCTGCTCCGATGGGTACTCCAAAATGACTTGGACTGATCACATCCCTGAGATACTTATTCATGAAATCTGTTGCTACCTCGCCAAGGTGGGAGCTCCCCTTTTCCCCCTGAAAACACACACACACACACACACACACACACTTGGCATTTTTATTTGTAAGAGTTCACAGGGGGGACATGGGCCTGAGTTTAAAAATTTTTTGAAAAATTTGTTTTTCAATTTTGAGGTTATCGGTTTTAGAAACTAATTATACACCCTTAGACTAAATTTCATAACCATGCGCCAAATAGTTACATTGATATAAAATATTTTCAACACATGGTGAGGCAGTAACAAAGTAAAGGAGTTCAACGTTTGAATGCATTTTTCTCAGTTCCACTTTTTGATGCAAATTTCATGCGAAGGAATCTCTTGTTCGAAGGTAAAAGTATTCTGGTACTACAATCAAGATGTTTCTGAACTGAAATTTACTGGGGAATCGGGCTATCTACTTTATTTTGTTTTACATTAAAATCATCATTGAGAAAAAACTGTTTTGAAAAATTGACATAGGACAGACATGCATCTCATATTTTGAGTTAAGCACTCTTCCTTAAATATTTACATTTGAGTTATAAAAACTAGATAGCCACAAGTCCCACATCCCCCACTTTATACTCAAGCAGTTAAAATGGTGCTTAATAGCTTCATTTACATATCATAGATTTCTTAACGAAAAGTGACACGTCTTCTTATGCAGGTATGTAAAGTTGTCCTAGAGAGCTGAAAGTTTGCACAGTTCACCTACATCTGAAGTTAAATCTCCCCTGCAAATTTCATTCCGATCCCTTGAGTACTTCAGAAGTTCAACCTCTAGCCAGTGTCCCCCCTTGTACTATAGGAAGTTACTCATTGTCTTTCGTCTATGTAGGAACCAGGTTTGCACTGTGTCTAGTCTACTATAAGAGAGTGTTGGGTTAGGATTGGGTAAAGTTGGTTGTTCGAGGATGCCAGTGTGCAAACCCAGTTTGCGGGTGCCTGTTTCTACTAAACTGTGCTGGCAGTTGCACTGCAATCACTTTTCTTATCGAGTGTCTCGTTCATATGCAGCCTGCGCCAGAGGAACAGCTTCCTGGAGGAACAGGTGCGTGCAATGGACACCCTCAAAGAAGCCTATGACCAAGTCATCAGGGAGAACAGCACACTCAAACAACAGGTGACCTTGGTTTGTAGACTTGCAGAATTTTCTGTATAATTTTTTTATCATTCTAATGAGAATTTTTATTAGAGCAAATGGAATTTTGATTATTCTATAATATGTATCCAACTTCACTTTTTAGTGGACCTATGTTTGCTAAATTAAAGGGAATATTTATTGGATAGACAGGAATGTCTGTTGGGCTGCTGGGGATTTCCGTTGAACAGATTCAGCATGTTTTTTGAATGCATGTGCTTATGAAACCAGTTGGTCCCATTGCCCCTCTCTAGAAAATGTAGCACAGGAGTTTTAGAAATGTAAAAATTTTTGTAATGGTAGTTTATATTTTGTGTTGAGTGAACTGTAATTAGTATATTTTTTTTAAGGTGTCTGCAGATTCCCGACTATCGTGGTCTCATTTTTGTTTACAGTTTAGCAAAATCAATAATGTGGACTTATCTTAGTCTCAGAAATAGACTTGCATTAGGTGAAAAATATTACATTACGGTGAATGGTTTCGTTTTAAAGCAAGCTGCGACATGTTGTTAAAGGCTCCCATTAAAATTTTAAGTATGCAAAACTTTATCACGTTCTGTGCTCCCCTGGAGCCTGGAATGTCCAGCTGTTAGAGTATAAATGACGCTCGGTTAAAAATGGGTTTTACTTGGAACAAATCTTTATCCCACCTTTCATGGAACTGCACTTTTAGTCGTTCAGAGTATGCTATAGTTTCTGTGCATTCCACTTCATTGCCACATTTTTCGCGCACAGACTATTTGATCCAACAATATTAGGCTGAAATCGCTGCTTGCTTTGTCCACAAAATCCACTATTATAGTCTCGTCAATGTTCAACAAGGACTCGCGTGCCGCGAATCTGTCTGGCTCGGGCTCGATTGTATAGTTGGTGCACTTTAGCATGATGCCCCATTGTTAAAGGGGTACTCCGCCGTTTCTTCATAGTACCCGATTTGCCTAAAAACTTGCTAGGCACACCAACAAACATCGCTGAACTAGTAACCCAAATATTTGGACAAAATAACTTTTTTTCGCGCAGTTACAGAATTTCCAATTTTGGTCCTCATCGTGTTTTTCAAAGTGAAAAGCTCTACTGGCAACATTGAAAAAGTGACGTCGTGGGTAGGCAGGGGTTCACTCTTTGGACTGTAGACTTTGTCCCCAACTGATTACAAACAGTTTTATGGTATCAAATGAATGCTTTGGAAAGTCGCTCCCGCACAGCAGCACAATACAAATGCTCGGCATGGTTCATTTTTAGACTGCCCGCTTGAACCGCAAGCCGACCCACCCGTGACGTCCCGTCAATGAAAAGCGCGGGTATCTTTGAATCTTCGTTTTGGCGTCATTTTCCTTTGCCGATTTCACAATAACTATTCTGAATTTCGCGATGCTAAATACCAGACCGGAAAGAGTAAAGGACGGCGATTACGAAAATATAGTTAGTTGGGATTGCTCAAAAAATCGCCGGAGTTCCCCTTTAAGGACGGACAGGAGAGCAGTTTTTGATTGTATTTCGTTCGTCCCTTGGCCGATGTGAGCTATGCGCTGCCCAGACTAATCAACTTCCTCCTTTTCGTCGCCCGATCCCGCTTTTTGCACGTGGGTATGGGTGAGTGAGATCACTCCGCGGAAGATTGATATACCACTGGTCCAACGAGCACATACCTTCCACCGACATTTTGCCTTGCGAGTGAATGGAGTGTAGAGGGACATTGCCCTACATTATGATTATGTTTATGTACAAACAACTGCATTGTTTGAAGGCATCTAGCGTCGAAGCTGTTTTGCTGCTCATTTATAAATATTGTAAGTGGAGCAAGATTTTCTTATGCACAAGAAGGGAGGAAGCTTCTGGAAGCAACATGACACCACCAGAGGTGAAGCGAAAAGTGTGGGACACGCCTCCAACCGTGATTAAAACCAAGAGACACTGTTGGACACAAAGGAGAGCTGACTCTACAACTGTTTTGGTGACCTTTCCCCCCCCCTCCAGAAAGTGACCAAAACAGCTGCCAAGTTGGCTCTCCTTTTCGTCCCATGGTGTCTCTTGGCCTTGGTCATCATTGGAGGCGTGACCCTTCACACTTCCGGTTTCACCTCTGGTGGTGTCATGTCGCTTCCAGAAGCTACCTACCTCCATGCTCTACGCTCCATTCACTCGTAAGCAGACAGTGTGGTGGAAGCCACATGGTCGTCTACGAGCTGAATGTGGCCTCGTGTCGCTCGGTACTGGGTGTCCAATAAACTATAGTCCGGGGGGTTTGGGTTCACCGTGCCGCACCAACTTCGCAGTCCAACGACAGAGCGGACTCGGAGGCCACCATCCTGGCACTCCAGGCCAACGTCGCGTTGGCGCTCTCCACGAAGGACGCCCTCGAAGCTCGGCTCTCCGAGGCGGAGCAGCAGAGGCACGGATTCGCGTCCCAGCTGGCGGAGAAGGAGCATGAGCTCGCCTCGCTGGTGGAGTACTACGCCAGTCGAGAAAGGAGGATGCCCGCAAGCCCCGGCACGCCCCCTACTCCCAACACACCGGTTGCGAGCTGCTACGTGGAGATGCGTGTCGTGGAACTGGAGGAGGCGAACCAGGGCCTGGAGGGGGACAGGGACCGGCTCAAGGCAGGTTCTTTCAACATCTCTTCACCCGTCGTCGGGTGGCACCATATTTGCTTCAAAATGAGCCTGTCTTAAGTGTTTTTTTTGCATGGATTCTAGGACGGGGTTCCTACGAACACGGGTTCCCCAGTGTAGCTTCTCATATTTGCATCTCGGTGTGCTCGAGAGCATTGCGTTCTCTCGTAACAGCCTAAAAAGACAGTGAGATGAGAATAAGTTTTTGAAGCAGTAGCTTTATTGGCCCAGCAACGCTCAAGGTCACGTCCTTGTCCTCAAGGTCACGTACCGCCCGTGGATGAAGTACAAGGTCACACCAAGCGCCGGTTGCGCAAGCTCCATTCTCGTAATAGCTGATTCACACAATCGCATATCACGTGACCTTCATGTCACCGATCCGCGCCAAGTCCGCAGATGCGCGGACTGATAGTCTAGCGCTTTTTTACTCCCGGGCTCTTGGCGGGAGGTCGACTTGAAAAGCATTGTCTAGCAGTAGTATGTTTTCTTAGTTTTTGTTTTCGGACGATTAAAACGAAAATGACGCATCTTTGTTTTCTGCATTGCTGTAGTTCATTTTGTCGCGAGATTCTTGGTTTCACGCATGAAAGAAAGTGCAGAAACTTTGTCCAGCTGACTCGACGCAGGTTTTGGTACTCTTCCGGGTGCGTGTCAAGAAGCTTCCATCAAAACTAGTCTAACACGCTGCGATAATTTGTGCACGTCCAATTAACCTTTCACCGAACAAGACCTTTCTTGTGGCTGTGGTCTATGTTAAGTGATGTGCACAAGCGCGGAGTGCGTGAAGGCATCTCCAACCGCCCCTTTGCAAGCTTAGGACTTCGTTGCTTCTACGCCAAAGCCTTCTCGAGCAGGACCATGCCCATGCCCATGTCACTGTCATCCCTTGGGTTAGTAAAGCTTGGCACATCGCGCGAAGCCTATCTTGGTGTTCTGTCTCAATCTGTATGTAACGTCTATTTTCTTTGCACGACCCCTTGCACGACTTCTTGGAAGGTGAACTTCTTAACCATTAGTCTTGTTTGTATGAAATTTGCAGGGAATATTCATAGCTGGGAAAAAGGATGATGTGAAAAAAGTTTCAAGTATGCGAGTTTACCCTTCAGAAAGTTTCATAAAAGTATATCAAATAAGCGCTGCCCCCCCAAAAAAATTTGTCGTTTAGAAGAGGTAATGATACAGTCTAATCTCATTACAACAGACCTGGTTACAACAGACATTTGGCTATAACATAACGATCTGTGAAGTTTGGTTGGTTTTACTCTACATAACATTGACTCAACTTCCTATCTGCACACAACATACTCCTCTCGCAACAGACCGAAATCTTGGTCAAAATGAAGGTCTGTTATAACGAGCTTAGACTGTAATAGCCAGTTCTTTTGGTAAAACGCAGTAACCCGCGTCACACAACTAGGGAAAGAAATTACTGAAACTGGTATATCAATTTTAATGCACAATAAAAAATTTTAAAAAGTTGTTTCCTTGCATGCATTAGGTTGAAGATGCTGCACAGCTTTTCATAATGAAAGACCACAAAAATGCAGAAACTAAGCTCACAGCTGCGCTGTTTACAAGATTTAAGTGCAGAAACTTTATAAACCAACTTTATGCATCTATCCATTCATTATATAATAACCTGTTTGAAAGTTCAGAAAGCTGCGGTTTAGATGGTGCCGACATGTCAGAAGTAATTTATTCCATAAAACGTGCTTTTGTTACAGGAGTCAAATTTTCTGACAATCCAGACATTTAAGAGCTGATTAAAAAATTATTGTTAAAATTGTGACTATTTTTAAAAAAACTTGCAATTTTATAGTAGTTAACTTTTTCTTCCCTTGGCCCCTTCACACAGCAGCAATCGACTGTTATGTTTCCTGTGTCTGTCGCTGCAGGACAGATATTAGCGGTGTTGCACACTGTGGCACTCGGCCTCTCTTCCTTCCTGTTACACTTTGCAATCGCAAACATAATGCAGTGAGTGTTTGCAGTGTACATCTTGATCATTTCTTTTCACTAAAAAAAAATGCAAACATCTATTTTTTCGCTTTTTTTAAAATGGTAAAGTTTCCGATATTCCATCGTAGGCCGAGTTGGACTCCCTTACGACTCGGTTTAATGCCGAAGCCAACCGTCTGCAGTCATCTCTGGCGGAATCTGAGCAAGCCCTTCGTTTGGCGGAGGAATTTGGAAGGAGCTTGCGGGGCGAGGTTTCTTCCCTGGGTGCCAAGCTTCGAGTCTCCGAAGAGCAGACTCGAGCCCTGCAGGAGGCCAACGCGGACCTTCAGACGTTGGTGACGACAGGCGGGGAGCAACTTCGGGACGTGCAGTCTCGGCTCGAAGACCTGTCCCAACAGCACGCCGCCGCAGAACGAGAAGCTGTTGCCTCCCGCAAAGCAAACGAAGCACTCCGACTGCACAACGAGTCGCTACAATCCTCCCTCGCGACGTCGGAAGGCGGTCGTACCGCAGCAGTGCAGACTGTCCTCACCCTTCAAGAACAGCTGAGGCAGGTGCTGGCAGCACGGGAGGAAGACGCATCTTCGCTGCGTGAAATGCGGCAGCGCTGCGAGGCACTCTCGTCTCGGAACGAAGCGGGAGAAGCATCGCTGAAGTCCACGTGCGCGCAGCTCGCGGATGCGCAAGCGAGGTGCGACCGTCTGGACAACGAGAATCGAGCACTAAACGACCGAAACCGGGACTTCGAAGTTCGTATGACCGACCTCCTGAGACTCAAGGAGGAGGCTGAAGACCGCTACCGCAGCTGCTTCCAGGAGAAAGAGGAGAATGAGAGGCACCTGAAGGAGCAGGTTCAGACACTGTCCTCGGAAGCTCTGGATTCTGCGAACTTGGTCAAGGAGTTGCAGGCCGAGGTCTCGAGGCTCTCCCAAGAGGTCGACAGGCTGCTGCGTGAAGTGGAGAGGCTCACGGCGGAGGTTGAGGATGCCAGGAAGACGGCGAGCGACAGTCTCGTGCAGGAAAGAGAGCTGCGAGAGCACCTGCGTGTCAACGGTGACCACTGCGAGGTCCTCTTAGCACAGTGCAAGCTACTCGACGAGCAGAAGGAACAACTTGGAGTCGAGTTAAAGGCGAGTCTTTTTTTGGGGGTGCAGTTTTGGCGTTCGTTTTTGTGTTTCAGATGCCTTGACACTGTAAATGCCAGCTGAAAACCACAAAAAAAGAATAGGAAACCAAACTGACTGTTTACTTTAGTTTTCGGTTTGCCAAAGTGTAAATTAATGTGAGACTATAAGAATTGAGGCGGAAAAGTAGAGAACTAGAAGAACTGGATGGTTACCTCAATTTCTGGTGCTAGGTCTGCTTCAGGTCACCAAGTAGGGAATTGTTTTATGGGCTTACCTCCTTAATATATTTTTATTCTTGAGTTATAATTTTCAGTAGTTTAGCTTTAAGCAGAGACACTACCCAAAAAACAAAATTTTAACAAAAAGTTGATTTGGATAAATGCTTTCTTTACATCCACCAACATCTAGAGTAGTCCCAAAAGGTTTAATTTCTTTACATTGCATTGTTATTTTTTCATAAATTTAGTTTTTGTCCACCCATGCTGAAGAAAAGGTAAAGGTTTGAGTAATTTGAACATGTTTTTCTCCATTCCATTTTTTGGCATAAATTCTACTTTAGGAGAACTATTGTTTGCTAACGGGGCAAAAGGAAAGGCTCACTTATTGTTTTTCCTAACTGGAATTTAATGGGAAATGCAACTGTGGAATTGTGCAATGTTACCCTAAAATGAATTGTAAATTACTTTTCTGAAATTTTGTTTTCGCAGTTGCACTCTCCAGGCATTCTGCTGCATATCTATTGAAGAAAAATGCTGGGTATTAGTATTTAAGTTTTTTAGCGATAGTTTTTCTAAACAGTGTCAGTGTTCCTGATAAAATTGACCGATTTATTTCTCGATTCATGTGCATAAATGAAACTTTGCACTGTACTCTGCCTTGCAACTGCCAGTATATACTGCAAATTTCATTCATATTTATCCAAAGGCTCAAAAGTTGATCCTTTTGGGTCGTGTCTTCCCTTAAACACTTCTTTGCATATCTTTTCTTTATTCTAGCATTGTGTTGATGTTGTTTCAAACTTGACATTGGTTAAAGCTCTCATCTAAATATTTCTATTTGAATTATCTTTGTATAAAAGTGCTAGGTGCATCTAATCGGTTGTGCAAATATTCAGTTTTGAATAGTAGTTCCGATTACAATAGAATCTCGATGATACAAGTCTTGAGGGATCGCGAAAAATATTTGTACCATTCGAAATTCTTGTGAACAAAAAAACGAGCCGAATAAGTATATTAAAGCAAAGGAGGGGCAGGGCTATTTGGAATTTATTGGTCCCACTCCCAGCCAAAGAAGTCGGTAACATTCTTCAGAGCCTTCTTTGTTTCGACGTCACCTGGGAGGCGCTTTTGGAGCATGTAAAAACTTGTGCCAGGCACGTAGCCAGGATTTTGTTTCGGGGGGGCCCAACCATGACAAAATGCTGTATGAGGGAGAGGGGGTAGAGGAGGTCCCAGCAAAATGGAAGATTTCGAGGGGGGCCCGGGCCCCATGGACTTCCCCCCTGGCTACGTGCCTGACTTGTGCACATGTTGTCTCTGTCGTTGATCAAGCTCACTATGGGTCCATATCACGTAAGCAAATGACGTTTTAGTGAACAGCGGTCATTTGAGTGAATCAAAATTTTAGCAAATAACTGGTGCGTGTGTTAACCCCCCTCCCCACCCCAGTGCATTCACACCGTTTCTCGGCGACAGTCTTTGACGGCTCATTGCAAAATTGTTAGCCCACCTGGCCCACCCACAAACACCGCTTCATAGCAGTCGACCATTCGCTAAAGTGTCTTTCGATGAAAAGTCGGTGTTTGTTAAAGCGTTCGACCAACTGAGCGCCACCCAGCTCACTATGTGCGCCACACTTTGAGGGCATGCAGTGTGTCAGAAGTTGTAGGTGGTTGCTTGTCGTTAGTTAAAGTTCAAGTTTTATTTGCCTCAAAAATGTTCATTCGAACGTATTATGTGAAAGGGGGGGGGTAGAAAAATACAAATGCAATGATACAATGGCAATCAAAGAACTAAGGTTAAAAATTAACGACAAAAACTAAGAACTAACTATACAGAATTCACAACAAGGTTTGCACAAACCGGGCACAACAGAACTGGGGACGCAGTGTGCAATTTATAGCAAACACAAGCAGAGATGGCGCTGAAAACATATCATAGTACCAAAGCCTAAGATTTTTACAGAATAATATTTTGTTCTGTTCAGTGACTATGTCGTTTGGGGGAGAATTCCAATTTTTAATGGACAGAGTAAAAGGAGAGTATTTGTATCTATTAGTGCGATCGAATATAGGTGCAATTTTTAAGGAATGATCATGACTCGTCGCAGTCATCATCTCTGCTACTTCATTCTCCTTGTGATGCTGTCTCTTCGTGAATAATTTCCTCGACAGTCTTTAATCCACAAGTCACGAGGTTGTCATTCATGGCAATCAAATCGAAGGCCGATTTTGTGGCAAAAATTAGGTCCCAGTCCTCAATCGTCAAGTTTTCTTTTGGCTCTGGAGGATCAACCACTGTACAATTTACGAATCCACACATGCAAAAACAGTTTGATCAGTGTTGACCACAGGATCAACGCTGATTTCGAATGTCATTTGTCATCTTCACTCGAGTGATTGAGAGTTACTAAACCCGTTGGTCACTTGACAATAAAAATGAAGCAGCAACCCTGTAGTAGGTGAATGCAAGTTAGGTACTCCAGCAAGTCAAATTCGAATCGCGTGCTGGACATGGGTACATGGGTATGTTTTCGAATTTCAGGACGCACCTATCGTTATTGTGATTGCACGACGCATATGTAGAAAGAACGGTGAGAAAAATTGCACAAATATTCCTTCTACGGTTGTAGGAGCTGAGTGACGCCACCCCAAAGGGATGTGTAAACGTTGTGAATCATCGTTCATATGATCCAACGTAACCGAGAAGGCATTTGGACTATCCCAAAACTTGATATTGAACTTTGGCCGGGTATTTTGAAAAATTTGTATCGTCCCGAAATTTGGATGAATCATGATTGTAGTACCAACAAGATTCTGCTGTAATACACTATTCGGTATTTGCTTCAAGATTAACTTCGACATTCATATTTTTTGTAGTGTTGATCGCGGTGGGTTAGCCCTCGAGTGTGCTTTTTAATGAGCACGGGTGCACTGCAGAGAAGCAATATCCGCGAAAGTGAGCAACGCAAATGCAGCTTCTTCGCAGTGCAACGGTGTTTGGTAAGAAGCAAACTCAGCGGAGTAACCCGAGGCGATCAACACTTGAAAAGTTTGAATATTGCAATTGTGTGCTTGGGAGAAAAGTAAAATTTGAAATTCGGGTGGTGCACGCTCACGCCTGGTGTACTTAAAAGAAACAGAATCTTTGTGGATGTTGACATTTACATTGCAGTCATTTAATTTTTAGTTGCAGAGTTGCATAATTTAATTCAAAATTAAACTATGGCCTTCATGCAGGAGTGTATGTTGGCCAGAGATGCCCTGACAACCTGTGCTCACCATTGGTGATTCTTTTCTTTTCAAAGTCGAGATTGAAGGAAGTGTACTATTTGCATATAATAAGATTTATGACCACTTAATAAGGTATTGCTGGGTATCCCTGTAGCTTAATTATATATCAAATTTATTGTTTACTAGCCATCCGAGTGCATCAGACTTTCTGAGGTCAGTCTATAGATATATTTAGATTAAAACTAGCTTATAAATGGACGAGTGGTGTTTGTGAAGTTTGAGAACAAACTTCACAGATTTAGCTGGTTTTTCATCGTGGTGCAACAGTCAAGAAAAGCTTGGGGAAACTATTCGGTATTTAATGCGAAAATGTTCAGCCAAAACACCTAATCGCTTCAAACACAAAATTTCCTTTTCGCACATGACTAGTTATTTATGCTAACAGAGCTAAAGTAGGCGAGTCATGAAATATAAACAAATATTTGTAAGGGCCAAATTTCTAATACTGTTAGATTCAGAAGTCAAATTGAGAATACCAACGTTCAAAGGTTTACAATATTTCTGCATGTCAAAAGAAAAGACTATAGGAGTCAGCAAAGGAATAGGTAAAATATTGCTTTATTTATCTGCTTTAAAGAAATTGTTGCATGTTTACTTTATTTTTGGCATCTCTTTCATTGCCCAAGAAATTGCTTGAGATTCTCTCCCTATAGGGGTTGTGAAAATGATGGCCTCAACCTATTTTAGTGCGGGATTTGTCTCCAAGAAATAGGTGTCCAGCGAATTCATTATTGTTAATACTTGTATAATTTTGCACTCGTGCTCGATACTGTTTAGGTAATATTGTGCCAAATTGTTTTACAGACCCGAATGGACAGCCTAGAGGCCGAAGCCCATCAGCTCAAGGTATCCCTAGCAGAGTCCGAGCAAGCTGCATGCTCCCTGGACAAACTCTGTTCAAGCTATCGAGACGAGATTGCTTCCCTCAAGAAGGAGCTTCAGACTTCCGCAGAACAGAGAACTTTTCTACTCAAGGCGAACGCGGAGCTTGAGACTTTCGCGTTGACGGAGACCCACAAACTCCACGACACGCAATGCGAGCTTGAAAGCGTGTCCCAGCAGCATGTGGCCATCGACACGGAAGCTTGTTCATTGCGTAAAGCCGTGGAAACTCTTGAGCTTCAGAACCAGTCTCTTCAGTCGTCCCTGGAAACGTTGGAAGCCAGCTCTATCGAAGCAATGCTGACCATCCGCACTCTTCGGGAGGAGCTGCAGCAGGCGCGGTCGGCCCAGGAGGAAGACTCGTCTCTGCTGCTGAAACTGCAGCAGGACTGCGAAACCCTCCGATCCCAGAATGAGGCAGGAAACGCGTCGCTGAATTTGACGTGCACGCAACTCGCGGAAGCTCGGCTCAGGTGTGACAATCTGGAGAACCAGAACAGACAACTGGAAGAAAGGATCGCAGACCTCGAAGCGCGGATCGAGGACCTGTTGCACCTCAAGGAGCAAGCCGAAGAAGACTACCAGAAGGGCATCGGGGAGACAGAGAAGGGCAAGGACGTCCTCCAGGCCCAGGTGGACGCACTCTCCTTGGAAGCCCGAGACTCTGCGGACTCTGCCGAGAGGGCACGGGCCGAAGTTGCGAGGCTCTGCGAGGAGAACGGCAGACTGGCGCTCCGGGTGGAGAGGCTCGGGGCAGACGTGGAGGGGGTCTCGAAGAGGGCGAGCGAGGACCTCGAGCGGATGAAGAGGGAGCTTCAGGAACGTTCTGAGCAGTACGGTGCCCGCTGCGAGGCCGCCACGGCACGATGTCGGCTGCTCGAGAAGGAAAAGGAGGCACTGAGGGCGGACCTGACGGTGAGTCCGCCTTTGGGCAGTTTTTGGCTCGTTTTAAATGTTAAATTGGAAAGCGACTATCGGAGCAGGCGTGGCTAGGCCAAGATGATCCAAGAGCATCACTGTACACACCTTCAGGAGGTCACCCGAGGGTTGGAGAGAAAGCGGAGCAGTTTATTCTCTGAATCTAACTACCAGAAATGTAATGCTGGTTGATATGGTGCATGAATTGCTATGCCGTGTTTTGGTTTTGTCGAATATGTTTGTTATGGGTGTGCTGTGCTTCGGTATTGCCGATTTTTACCTCCTCTCATTGTTGTTTTTTCTTCCTGTAATATTTTGATTTTTTGAAAAGTACTTTTTTTATTTTAATTCTCAAAAAAAAGTTAGCTTCATTGCTTTCTACCTTCAAATCCAGACGACCGAACACACTGATTATTCGGAAAAAGATTACTGATTGTATCTAGCCCACTAATCGGTTCAGGATGATTTCAGGGGCAATCTCTGCACTCAAAAAGGCTGAAGCAGTATGTTGTTCAGGAAAACAAAGCGAATGGGCAAAAGTAGTCGGGGCTCAAAAACTCGTCTGAGGCTGTGTTCCATGCGAAAGACTCGCCTGTCTAGCATCTAGCATTGCATTCGAGGAAAGAGCAACCCCCTTAGTTGAATACGTTGCTAACAAATTCGCATGAACTTCACAGAATTTGTTCAGGTCCTTGAAATCCTTTAAAACCTTTGAATTTGAAACGGCAATTTCCAGACCTTGAACGCCCTGAAATTTCTAGCGGTGCTTGAAAACCCTAGATTCTCACAAAAACAGTCCGTTTTTTTTTTTTTTTTTTTGCAATAATGGAATTTTTTTTTTTTACAATATTGAAATATAATTTTTACCTGTATGTTAACTTAATTTTCAAAATTTCAAGGAGCGCCTAGGCATGCACCATGTATTGACAACGTGAATGCATTTGGAACCTGATTAGGAAAATGGGGCATCTGTGGCATGCAGAGATCCAGGGTTGGTGTATGCCCCTCTATGACCGTCTAGTGTGCTCTTTAAAGAGTACCTACAATAATGTTATACTTGTTCCTTGGGGATTATAAATCAACTGCTCCCGTTTATCTCCGTGATCTCCAAAGTCGCCTCAGTCATCCCCTTTTAGTCACGGGAATGATGGCAAGGGGTTTTTCCGTTGTTGGTTGCTATGGTCGCCGGCAGCTTCAAAAACTCGGTGTGTGGTCTTTCACGATTGTGCTTCTTGCTTCGTGATCCATTCTTCGACACTCTTATCGGCCGATTCCACAGTCACATAGGCTACATTTCTTGCATATGTGCGAGAGTTGAGTCAAGTTTGTTTGCAGTAAAAAAACCATGCTCTCTGACGTTACTCTGCAGGCCAAGCTGGACTCCCTTACAGCTCAGTTCAATGCCGAAGCCAGTCATTTGAGGACATCCCTCACAGAGTCCGAGCGAGCCGTTCTCTCTATGAAGGAACTCCAGGCGAGGTCCCAAGACGAGGCGTCTTCCCTCAGAAGGAAACTTCAGACATCCGAAGAAGAAAGAGACGCGTTGCACAAGGCCAACGCCGACCTCCGAGCGTTTGCAACGACTGGATCGCAACAACTCCAGGACATGCGCCTCCAGCTCGACGCCGTATCCCAGCAGCGCAATTCGATTGGGCAAGAAGTTCACTCTTTGCAAAAGGCTGGCGAGGCGCTTCAGCTGCAGAACCAGCTCCTTCGGTCCTCTCTCGAGACGTCTGAAGCCGGGAAAGCTGCCGCCGAAGCCAGCTGCATGGAGGCGACTCGGTCCATCCACACCCTTCGGGAGAAGCTTCAGAAAGCACTGTCGGCCAGAAAGGACGCAGAGTCTTCTCTGCAGATGGTGCAGCGGGAATGCTTGGACCTTCGAACCCAAAACGAGTCGGGAGGCGCGTCGCTCAAGTCGAGTCAAGCGGAGCTCGCGGAAGCGCTGACGAGGTGCAGTCGCCTGGACGACGAGAACCAGGCTTTGAGGGACCTGGTTGGAGACCTCGAGGTGCAGCTGAAGAACCTAGAACACCTCAAGAAGCGGGCCGAGGACGACTACTACAAGTGCGTCGAGGAGAAGGAGAGGCACAAAGACTCGCTGAAGGAGCGCATCGAGGCGCTCGCCTCCGAAGCCCGAGACTCGGCGAGCACAGTCCGGGAGTCTCAGTCTGAGGCCTTGAAGCTTCGCGAGGAGAATGGCCGCCTGGTGCTGGAAGTGGAGAGGCTGAAGACGGAGGCGGAGGAAGCGGCGAAGAGGGCAGGTGATGATTCGGAGCGGAGGGAGAAGGAACTGCTGCAGGAGTCGAGGCTGCACGTTGCTCGCTGCGAGGCCGCCACGGCACGGTGCGAGCTGCTGGAGAAGGAGAACGAACGGCTCGAGGCAGACCTGAAGGTGAGTCTGCTCTTGGGCAGTGTGTTGGCGTTTGTCTCTCTAGGAGTCCTGCAGCCTCTACAAAGGCCTACCGGGAGCATCTGACAGATAGTAGAGTTCCTTCTTCTAAGCCGATCCTCGAGAGTGTGGGTTCTTGAACTCTGTTTCTAGGAACCCACAGGTTTCCCAGGCTCCTAAATTTTATTGATCGTCACCACCCCCTAAAAACGATTTCTGTTAGTGCCCCATTTTTGGAGGATGTGAGCCGCCCACTGTGAGCCAGTCACTCCCAAGTATTTGAAATGTTCGAAGATACCGTAGGTTTCTGCGGTGCTTCGCTGCCTTGATGCATGTGTTTCGGTTCCCATTGCACAGTGGAAGGAAGCTTTTGAAGTCTTAAAATGTGCGCATTATGACTTCAGAAGTTCATTCCACACTTAAGGTTAATGTAGCAATGACTCAATCTAATTTAGTATGTGTGACTAAATTCTGTAGGAGAGGACTGCTTGTTCGAAGTATAAACGCTTGTTTCGTGTCTGGTACTTTTCATTAGTTGTTTGTCCAGAGCTGTTTGTTGGTTACAAAATGCTGGCCATCGTTACCGGCTAAAAGCAGTGTGGGTTTTCTTAGTAATATTCGTACCAAATAATAGCTTATATATTTTGAAAGAATGCACATTCATTTGTTGAGTTGCGAATACAGTTGAACCTCGATGTAACAACCTGATTTTACAAATTTCCCGGTTTAACCAACAAATTCGGATTTCCCGCGCAACCTATTCGCGAGGTCTCCCTTCCTCGATTTTACAAAGTTTTTGATTTAACGAAATAATTAGCGGGGTTCCCAGTGTCTTCAATAGATTGAGGTTCAACTGTATGTACTTGTTGCAATACAAACTGGGTAGATGTAAAGAATGTAATAAAATGGTAGTTGTCTTCACAATTTGAGGTTGCATCTCATGTGAACATGTTCTGGGGTTAACTGCTGCACTCTGTTGCAGGTCATGAAACTTTAACATTTGAAGGGCTTTACGTTGACTTTCAGATGTGTCTGACGAGTATTTGGTATCTTGATTACTTATCGTAATATCCAGAGTTGTCACCCACCCCACTTTTTGGGCCAGTATCAATTTCCAAAAAAAAGATTCATCGCCCACCCCTACAAATACTCAGACACAGACTCTGAGATCCGCGAACATTCATTCCACCTGAATGGTGCAGCTGCGGACCTTACATGTAGAGGACATCTGTGACAAAGCAAAATGAAGGAGGGGAAGATGCATACTTCTCTTTATTTACGCAATTCCTCCGCGAGCGACCCCGAAGTGGTAGTGCATTCATGCGAAAAGAAAACGATGGAGATAACAAAATGAAATTGTTTTGCTTACAAAAACATTTGCCCGGACAAAAAGAAAGTTGGAAAGGTAACACAAGCAGTAACCCATTCAGGGATCGCGAGGTAAATGAACGCCCCTTATCTTGGGGAATGTAACCGCCGAGTGTAAGGTCAAAGTCTGTCTCCGCCGAAGTAAGGTCGCAGCGACCCCGCTCCCTCTCCTGGCACGTTGCGACTGCGGTTGTGCAATGTTAAAGACAAATCCAACGAGTAAAGAAATATTTGCTGGATTGCTGCGCACACAGACATTGGCAGAGTGTCTTGTTTCGAGCTCAGTGTTCGTCATGCCACTCATGCATGTATGCACCAAACAAGAAAGTTGCGCAAGAGCTTACAATTGGACAAGGTGCCCGACTTGGCCTGATGCCAAAGTGTTTGCCAACGCGATTGCCGGCTTTCCTGCTCCTTCAGGATCACTCTTCGTCGTTTCTTTTGTCCGCCCGCTCGCTCGTTGTGCCTGGTTGTTTTTTCTGTTTTCTTGTGGACTTAATTCTTTTTTTTACTATTGAGAACATTGCGATGCTTTTACAGAACAAACGTTTGTGCTGTATGCTGATCAATGGTGTTCATAGCACATATGCAAGCAACAGACTTCACAATAGTAAAACTTTCTTTCATGAGCATATTTTGCATAAAGTTTTTGAGTTTTGAGTGTATGTACCTCTTGTGCAGACACGCTAGATATGCACAACAAAAAGAGGCGTTTTTCTTCGCTTTTTGTTTTTTTTTTACTTTTTGTGCTCACCCACCGAGATGGGGCCCACCCCTTTTTCATGAATTTCAGGTGGCAGGGGGATGGGCAATGATTCGGGATATTACGGTACTTATCAATAAGAAATTTCAGCTCTGTGGCCTCGTACCATTGCAAATTCATGGACCCCCTCATTTCAATCTAGAATTTTTTTTACAATAAGGCGACTTTTATATGTGAATAAATATGTTAGTTTAGTTAAGCCCCAAACAAGCGCTTAAAAAATTTTCTGAACTGTTGGCTGGCACTCTGAAATTCTCCTCTTCCTCAGTTACGTGCGTCGCGGTATTCGGTTCACGGTTCGACAGTCTTGCTTCGCTCCTTCGTCCAAATCACAGGCTGCCAAAGAGAGCTACGGCCGGAAGCTTCAGGCCGCCTTCTCAGAGATGACAACAGAGTCCAACAAGAGGATCTCGGCCTTTAAGAAGAGGGAAGTTACGCTCAGGGAAGAGATTGAAGCCCTCAAGAAGAAATGCGAGGATGAGAAGGCTTCCCACGAAAAACGGGAAAGGCTGTAAGTTTTCTTCTGGGCGCCGTCGTCACTGTGGCAATTGTTAGCTTATTTTTTCTGCCTTTCGCAAATGCAAATTGAGAAATGTCCTCACAAACATGACCACCCCCCCCCCCCCCCCCCTTTTTTTTTGTGTGTGTGAGCGCCAATATTTTTTTTTGTGTGTGTGAGCGCCTATATAGGGGGTAACGTATCAAATTTCTGCCATTCATGGTTAAAGATACTCTGAGAATGCCTCTTCAGGCAGGAAATAGGAGTCATTGTGTTGTGTACTGTGACTCTAGCTTCTGTGTCAGCCTAAAACCCCAATAAATCACTCTGCAGCCCCAACACCCTTGGTAGTTGTCTAGCTTTCCAGGCAATGGGCGTTCTTTGACCCAATTAATATTGGAACTTGAATGAAAAGAAAAATGGCATCAACATGGCGACAAAAAAAATTTGAGCTCGTAAAACAGCCACAAGATGCATTGCGATTGCATACCTACATTGGGGTGGCATTTAAATGAATTCAGCATAAAGTTAAACCTATGCGGAGCGCTGGTTTGTCTGCTTTTTTTGCAGGGGTCGTGGTGACGTCGGAACGCCGAGCTCTGATTGGTTCTGAACGAAGGATAGTGTTTATACTTCAAGGCACCTTGCTTTGAGGTCTACCCACTATCCATTCAGTTGGAGCCAATCAGCGCTTGGCGTCTTTCTGACATCACCTCAGCTTTTGCAAAAGAAGCAGATGACTTGCTTTCAGCATAGAGATGCCCAGCTACTTTAAGGGGATTTATAAATCCACCTTCTGTATGCAAAAAGCCTTTTTTCAATCATGAATTAAAAAAAAAAATGTGTGAATGATGAACACAAGTTTTCAGGACATGGCTGCCTAACAGAAACACTTGCATAATAGTCACAGTTTTTTTAAATCTTCATACAATGTGGATATTGACATTCGCAAAGTTTTTGTTTCTTTTTACATGTGCCAGGCGTGAGAGTGCACCATCTCACTTTGAAGGTGTGCTCTTTCCCTTAGCATGCGGCTGTCCTGCGCAAAGTGAGGTTTGTGGGTATCGCTTCCCCACAGTGCACCAGTGCTCGGTATGAAGCTTACTCCACTGGGCTAACCTGCCGTGATCAAAACTTTGAAAAGTATGATTATCGCACTTTATATTGAAATGAATATCAAATAGCATCTTATCCCAAACAACTATTTGAAAATTTTAATATTTTCACAATCCTGATAAACAAAAAGTCTGAAAACACCTAAGCACTTACGAGTTGTGAATGCGAAAGCATTAATGTCCGATATGAATGGTAGAGGCAGCGCCATGTTTGTCGGCGGCGAGACAAGCAGAAGCCTCCGAGCGCGTGCCCACCTGTCCGTTTTAGTTGCCGCAGGGCCCACAGTGGCCTAGGGTTTCAGCGGTTAGTTTTATCGGCACGCTGGTGGCAAAGACGTGCAGCGCCATCTAGCGGCAATCGTTGAAACCGACTTGCGCAGCGGCCAATGAGAGTCCCATCGCCGCGCGCCAGCCTTTGGGATCGGGGAAACTGGGCGCCGTTTTTGCGCTTCAAACTGATGACATCGGCTCGCTCAATGGGACAGTTAAAGGGCAACTTCGCTTCATTTTTGATATTTAGAAAATTATGTAGCCCTCTTCAGTATCATATAGGAACTCCCCATGTCAAATATTACGATCAAATTCCGTCTATATATTTAATAATCTGGCCAGCAAACTTTCAAATCACCCAAGTCGCCGAAATCTGCCAACTCCAGCGTGCGACGTGAGGCGCAATCGTCAGCGCAGTCAATGCGACGGAGTTGGAGCGACCAACGTTGAGCCACTACGTCAGAGGCATGACTACGTCATTCTCACGTTTTGTTTGTTTTTACTTCTCAGAGCGAAATTGAGCGATGACGTCATGAGTTTCTCCTCCCGGTGTTGGCTGAACGGCGTCCACGAGTTCACCGTAACGCGGATGCGCTAGTTTGCGCTGCCCTGCGTGCTTATCAATCTGTTTTGCCGCTCCCCCTCTCCTCTTTCGTCTTCTCCCCCTCCCCCTCACCCCCGGGCCATCACCGTCCACGCCATGCGAAGCGACTTGCCCGCGTCGCATCAAGGTCGTGTGTCCTGTCCCTCGCCCCCACGAACGTCACAAGACCACGTGGTTCGACAGTGACGTGCCATGACTCTGACGGCACGAGACCAATGTTGCCTGACGCAACCAAAGTTTCGGTTTCGGTGTCAGCTGATGTTTAAGTTAAGATTACACAAGTAATATTCCACATTTCGCGAATCCGAGGACGTAGAGCTGTTTAGTAGTGCTATGTGAAATGGAATCACATGTAAGCCTAAATTCTTCGGAATTGAGCGGAGTTGCCCTTTAATGCTTTCGCATTAATGCATACGACTGGTAGTCAAATCACCTGAACGTATGTTTCACGATTCCAAGAGATGAACAGCCTCGTAGTGCTCTTGTATTTTAACGATGCCAAACGGGACAGGAAAGTAGTGTGTGCCATCTTTTGAGATGTTACAATAATTTCCTCACACAGGCTTTCTTTGTTTGTTTTTTAAGCAGCGGTTCATTGGCAGCGTTTTCTTGCATCGCGTGTCCAAAAAAGGTCTCGTGTACTGACCTTGCACACGCCGTACCTTCGCCACAAAAAGTTTGCACGTCACAATCGTCGCAATCGGCATGCACCTCCTGTAGAAGTGCAATGTCATCCTGTATTGAAAATCGCAGTCGCGATTTTCAAAGCAGGAACTGCAGCTGTTTGCTGCAAATGCCAAAGCGGCTGCAGCCGCGGTTGCGAGAGCTGCCATTTTCTAACTGCTAATCTTGGCTTTAGCTAACTTCTCACGCATCCTGAATCCTCCTTGGAAGGGCACAAAGACTGTTTGCATACGCACGCAATTTTCGAAAAGTGGCACATGCAAAGCGCAAGTTTTGGTTAGGTGGCGATGACACTATTCTTTTCATAGGCAAAGCTTTTGTTTGTGATGTTCTAAAACTCCCCATTATAATGATTAAGTTCAAAAAAAATGTTTATGGTCTGTACCTAAAGATTAAAATTTTAACTTTCAAACCTGTATTGTATTGCAGACTACAGTCCAGGAAATGCGATATAGCCCTAGCTGCTGCTGTATCGCACAATCCCTATAAACCTGCTCGTCGCCGTAACAATGCTTTCTGCAATCTGCGGTGCAGCTTCCACAAGCACGTCAACGAGATGGAGAGCAGGGTGACCCAGACCAACGAGGACATCGAGACTCTCAAGGCGCAGCTGTCCGAGAACGACGGAAAGCTGGCCACTGCGACGTCCGAAAGAGACCGCTTGGCCATGGAGGTAGGAGCCCCCACTACAGCACAAGAAGGCTTGGGGCGTCCAACTTTCGCCCCAGTTTCTTGTGCACGTCGCCAGATGGCGCCACAGTTGAGGCCGAAAGGCAACGCGGTGGCGTTCGCCGAAAGGAAGGCACAGACAGTTCTGGATCCTTTTCTTTTTTTCTTGTTTTCCAAGTGGCAGGGGCAGCCAGGGAAACTATGTTGGCATCACATCTTTTGCCAGAGCAGCTTCCCACGGGGCACTTAAGAGGATGCATCCCTTGTTTGCGGCTGTCCACGATTTGCGCAGGAACCTTTACTACAGTCGTTCCCAAGTACAGGAATGAGGATGTATTCGCAAAAATCTTCGTTCAAGCAGGCACTGGTTAAATTTAAGGGAACACTAAAGTGCTTTTTAATATCCTTGTTTTATGGTTATAACTTAATATAAACTCTAAGCATTCTAAAATACCAGATATTATGTTTTTGCGCGGCCGATTTGCACATTGAAAGAGTGATCAAACTTACTGGCACTTACCGTTTGTGCAGAACGACAGATGGCGCTACCGAACTTTTCTGAATGACAGACGGCGCTTGTCAGCCACTCGCGAGCGACAAGTTTCTGCGTAGACGAACGGCGGACCATATTCAGCAAGGTTTGGTAGTGCCATCTGTCGTTCTGCGCCATTCGTAAGGGATCCCTGATCACTTTTTTAATACTCGAATAGTCATGCATACCAGTGTGATTTAGGTTGTTTTTTTTATTTTTTTTTAGGATGCCCGAGTAATGACCATAAAATGGGGATCACAAAAAGCACTTTGGTGCCTCTTTGCCACGCACCCTTACTTCTCGCAGCACTGCAAAGAACCTCTGGGATGCTCTGTAGCGCTCTTTCTGGTCTGCACCTTTACTTGATACTGTTCTTAGTTGCATTGCCTCTGGTTCATATCTGGTTTTATTTTCCCACTGCAGAACCGCAGCCTGAAGGCACAGCTCAATTACTGCGAGCTGAAGATGAAGGAGCAGAGAGTCAAAGGCAGTGCCAACTCGCTGTCCGCCAGCAACGAGAGCCTCTGGTCGCAGAAGACTTCTTCGGGCTCCTTGGCCAGCCTTAGGTCAAACAGCAGCCTGGTTTCGGACCAGTTCAAAGGTGAGGACCGTTTTTACTGGGCGTTTTGCCCTGCAAGGCTGCAGGCGGAAACGCCCGTTTTAACGATATTTGGAGCAACCTTTGTCTCTAAAGCCGTATAATGCGTGGAATGCAGTATCGATCATTTAGAAGACATTAAACGGTTGTTTTGGGAGTGAAAAACGTCTTTTCTTTAATGAATTGCAGTCGTCCTCCTTTACAACATCACTGTGCAATACAAAGAGTGTCGGCATGTGGGGACTGTAGTAGAACTACAGTGTAGACTGCATATAACATATGTCACGGGAGTCCCAAAAACCCACACTATAAGTGATGCCGCACTATAACCAAAACAAATATTTTAGGTCAGGGTAGATGCCATGAAACCACTTACCTTTGTAAAATAATTTATTTTATGTTATATTGAAAATAAAGCTCAGTCTGAGGAAAGCTCTTATTTCACTGGACTAATACACATCCCTCTCAAGCGTCTTGGGCATTTTGAAAGAAATTTGCGATTTTTGCGTGGTGCTGCCTTTTAATGGCGTTGTGGACGATCTGGTCTTCGATAACGCTAAGGCATTTGAACACTTCATCACTAAAGGATATCTGCTTTCACTGAACCTTCAGTTTCTGTAGGAATTCCAGTGCGTCTTTACTTGAAACTTCTGGCGTGCTCTCTTCGTCGTCGTCCGATTCATCTTCGGGTGGACTCACCCCAGAACCTCGCACCTCTGCAACAATAGCTTCATCAGTGTTTGATTCCTCACGGATAACGGAATCATCATCATCCTCATCTACATAGTTTTCAAACGTGTCGTTTGCAGGAACAAAGTAATTTTCTACATGTCGTCCACACCGATCGCATCACTGCCGATCGGTGCCCTCCGAATTCCTGTCATTATGCACAGACCCTGCATTGTGAAAACACTTCTGGATGGTTGTGGCTTTTACTTGCCACCACAACATGGTTGTCATGTGCAGGATAAGAACAATGCACCGTTTTTCTGCTACCAAGGCCTCATTGAAACTTTTCAAACCAACTAGTAAAGAACTTTTGGGTCATCCAAGCCTCTCCATTTGCTGTGTACACCACAGGCAGACATTCTTGCTTCTTGGAGCAAAAATGTCTTTGATTTCTAGATGACAAACAAGTGCCGCTTTTCAGAGCCGTCAATGTTTGAACAGAACAAAACTGTGACATGTTCCTTCGAGACTTTGCAGCCGGAACAGGGTTCACCACTCATCGCGAGAGTGCAATCGAGACGCATGTTGTAGCACAGACCAGCTTCGTCGGCATTATAGATGTCTTTGTCCACATACACAGAAAAGCATCGTTTCGAGATGAATGAAAAACCACGTCTGAATGCTGGCATTGTCGACTTCCCCACTTTCGCCCTGGATAACTTTTCAGCTAATTCTATGGCGGTCTTTAAACCGCTGGATTCATCCGTTCAAGGGGTTAAAGCCTTCGTGTTCAAACAAATGTCCAAAGGACCTAGCCTTCGCTTGTAGCATCAGGCCACTCACTGGGCTTGCACGTCGCGAAACCACCTAAGCAAGGCTTCGTCGACGTCCTTATCCCATGGCACACGAATCCTCTTTCTTGAGAGCGACGCCAAATCTTGCGGTAGCTGCTTCCGTACCTGCTTTATTGTGTCGACGACAGGTTTGCAATTCATAGAGCATGGTTACTGTGGCGCACCCACGACCACCCATGGGCGCGCCTCCGTCAGTGGAGACATGCCACGGTACCCTGTGATGTCATATTGGGACCTAAAATGACATTTATGCAAAGTGTGTAAGTACAAAAATTATACCCCGCGTAATGAATGCATCCCCCCCCCCCCCCCCCCCCCCCAAATGTATGTCAATTTTTCTGAAAAAAGGGTTTATTATGCGAGTAAATACGGTATGCAAGGGACAGAACCCAGCCCTGATGCCGGTTCACGCGGGTACTTTTTGGATTGCCGAAATCCAACTAAAGCAATGTCCGAATCGCACTTGAAGTACCGGTCGGTTAATGCGAGCATTGTCACACAGTTTGCAAAGTCTTTTTCTTGGGCAGGGTCTGAAACTTTCTAGAATGCGCTGTATTCCAATGCTACTAAATATATGTTAACTTGGATTCAGAATTGCTTTCACTTGTCCCGCCTCCAGCAGGAGCTTCCTACCTTCGATTACACTCGGGCATGTCGTGAGCTTCAAGCATGCATGGGCAGCCAAAGCACGGTGGAAAGCAATGCGCACACGCTAAAGGGTGAACTTCTGAAAGACTCCCCGCCATTCTCTTTTGTCGGCAACTATACAACGAGATACTTGGATAGAGGAGACAAGAGTGCGCAGGGACGTCGGAACGCCCATCTCTGGTTGGAATAGCTGGTGGCTAGCTGTCTTTGTCTCCACTACACTCATCGTGTGCGGAAGCCGGCATTCTGGTTCCTAACGTGTTTGATGTGTGCAGTGAAAGCGACGCCTCAGTCATTCCAACCAGAGATGTGCATTCTGCCGTCCCTGTGCACTCTTGTCTCCTTCTCTCCTTCAGTATCTCGTCGCATAGTAGTTTTGCTGTCACAGAGCTCTAAGGATCTGTGACTCCCTTGAATCCATAGCTACTTCTGCTGGAACAATTGTGTATTAACTCTGCACTTGACAGTACTGCGGGACTCTTTTTGTTATGCTTCTTTACCTCGGCTAAGAGTGGCTATGAAAGTGCGGTTTGCCTCTTGTTTTTTGCAGTGCCACTTCACAGGCCGTCGAGCCGGCGGTAAGCTCCTCGTTTTTGCCTGCGGGCACCTCAATATTTTATTGAAACGCTGTTGTACGTTCCCACTACACTATTTAACTCTGAATGTATTGTAGGGCTCGGTTTTTTTGAGAAAATAGACAAATTATAATTAATCGACATGCAGGCTACAAGGCAATGTGTCGTCATGTGATTTTGTAACGTCGCGCTTGGAGTCTGCCTGGGTACGGGCTGGCCCGGCCCCCAGGCCAGGCTCAAACTTCATGGCTGCATTCATGAAGTGCCCCGGCCTTGAATTGAAATCTGCAAAGCAGACCAAAGCAAAGCAAACCAAACTGGCTGTTACTTAACTTTTTTTTTTTTTTTTTTTTAGCAGTATGTTTTTGGGGCGACCCAAGTGCTGAAGGCATGTTCGTGCATTTGTATGGTTCGATACGTGCGCACCAACTGCTCTTCCAGAGCACCACTGGCACAGCGTTCATTTTTATTGCCGCTGTCACACAGTTGCTTCTTTGCGTCGACACACATCTTTGCGTCAACACGCATCAACACGCATGTGAAGGCACACACGTGTGCCTTCACATGCGCATCCTTGCAGGTGTAAAGTCTGTGCATACGAGTGCATGCATACACAATAGGGGCGAGGCGGTTTCCCTTGGGGATGGTTTTCCTAAATAATTTGTGCAAACCACCGCAAAAACGGCTTTTTTTTTTTGTGTGGGGGGGGAGGGGGTATTTAATGTGGGTGGGCAATTTAGAACTTTGCCCACCTTTTTGAACACATAACAATGTTGTACTTCCTTTTTAACTTTTGCCCGTGGTTTTGTTCAGGGTGTTACGGCGTCCCATGACACCCTGACGTCATGCGAAGTCGTGAGGTCACGTGACCATGACATCGCCTGACTTTGCGCACATGCAGCATGTGCACAGCTTGTTTGCAACACATTTTGTGCATCTGTACATTTGTCGGATGTTATGGAGACATGCGTAAATTTTGTCTTTGTAGGGACAGTACTTTGAGGGCCTCCAGTACATCATTTTCTCAGCCTGCAGCTCTGGACACCACCATTTTCTCGGGTAAGTGTTAAATGGCCAGACCATCAATTTTTGTACTTCCAGCACCTGTGTGCGTAGGTCCCCTCCTTGTGTCTTCAGTCTTTTTTAGCCCCGGTTTACCTTTTTATTTATACTGCTTTGAATTGATTATTTATGTTCCTAACATACGAAAAGTGCATTAGTTTTTCTGCACGAGTAATGGCAGTCAAAGAAAAAAATTGATGAGTGAAAAATAAACAGCATTCGTTTCCTCAACTCACTACCAGAATTAGCAGCCACATCGTCTGGTGCTGATCATATGCCGCCAGTGTTTATCCTAGCCACGCGCTGGGATTGGCAAAGCACAGGGCACATGCTGATTTCCAAACATTGTTAGGGTTCGGTTATCCCTCTCATTCTAGCAACTGGACACGAGCCACTACCCCTATGCTTGTTGAGCTATTGTCTTGAGCACAACCCGAGTGTTCGCGCGGTGCTCGTATCCAATATATAAGCAGCATTTGGCTTTGCCACCAAGGGTTAATCCTGACTGCATCAACACCGCAATCCCCAGGACTGTCGTTTATTTTTGCGAAGGCGAGACTCAAAGAAGTTGGCCTCTATCCTTGAAACCACACCGTGTCGAAGAAGCTTTTTGGGAGGTGGCGTTGCACGTGTGTATGCTAGAGTCACACTAGTGCAGGGGTGGAACTGCTGCTCCATTTGTGCCATTTTGCGCCAGTAGCATTTGTCTGCGCCATCCTGCGCTATGTTGCGGAAACTGCGCTGCAGCCAATACCTTGCACCATTATGCACCAAATCGCAAAACGCGTGCAAAAAAGATTGTATTTTGCCTTGGTTTTGTTTTTCATCGACTCGATTGACAACAATGAGCGCGTTTAGCTTGGTCGACATTGCAATCCTTTGTTCTGTTTATTCTCCCTGTGTATCCCGAGTCGGAAGCGTGCGAAAAAACGCAGGAATCAGATTCAAAGTGCTGCACCAGCTGTGACTTGATTGTTCTTCTTCAACCATGAGTGGTTAAGCAAGTCGGCCGAGGTGAGGTCGAGTCGCTAAGCGTCAGATTGCCTGAGGCTCTGCGGCCCAGGATCCGGACGTCAGCCAGTTGGAAACAAATGAGCAGAAGATTCCTTTTAGTACTTTATCGTTGGAAGTTGGAACCGCATTTTCGCAAGATAAATCGTGATTTGATAGAACTGAAACGTGGTCCAATCCAAAACCGTGCCGGCCAGCAGCTCTCACGCGAGCAATAAATCTGCTCGGCGTACCTTAACCTCCCTCCTGCTTATCGCTTCGAATACGATAGCTCCGTTAATCGTAGTCTACTGCTGCGATATTGAGTTTCACAATAGAATAAACTCGAAATTTGTTGCCCTGTTTCTCCACGCAACTGCACGCCCGTTGCTTACACACGTCAAGTGGTTCGCACATATAATTACTATGTCGAGCATGGGTGGGTTGTGCGATAAGCAGTGCTGGTTTGCATTTTGAGCAGCTGAAAGCCACTCAGAAAATATCAAGGACACTATCTTCAGAAACCTATGGTACTTACTTTTTGGTTCTCATCAAGGCTCAAAAAGTTTCTAAGTCTTTGCATCTGTTACACTGTTATCCGAACTACCTAGGTTCCTAACCACTCATGTACATCTCTGCTGTTAAGGACAATTGAAATTGACCCCTGCTTGTCTAAGACACAAGCTGAAGTGCAATGAAAACTGATGTGAGCTGCTCCTAGCCTGCTCCAGAATGTAGTTTTAGCTGCTCCCAACCTGTTCCAAAACAGCTGTTTCGGCTGCTCCTGTGGCTGCTCCCAAGTACATATCACGAGTTCCACCCTCGCTAGTGCCAGTAAGATGAGAAATGGTCAACCAAATTCATTGAACGTCCTGTTTAAAATGGTTTTCTGATCCCCCCACTAACTTTTAATTTTATTAGGACCTGGGAGCATTCTAATATACAGTGAATTTTTTTTTGAACTGCACCAAATTTTAAAAGATGAGTTGCATTCTGGCATTTCTAACTATTGGATTAGTTTACCCGACTTGGAAACCACTAGAAACAAGGTTGCTCATGCAATTAGGTGGCTAATTAGTGAGATATTTTCATTATCTTTTTAATTAATGACTTTAGAGGGCATATTGCATTTTTGAAATTAATGTCTAACCTCCTGTATGCTCAAATCACAAGCTGTTAGAAACATTTAAGCATTTGGGCTCTACCGACCAAATTGTTTTAGTTCTGCAGGCACTTTCAAACTTAAACTTATTTAGAAAGGAGCAACAGTGACATTGCTATACAGTAAAACCTCGTTAACGCATAGTTTGACGGGAACGCAGATAAAGTAAGCGCAAAGTGATGGTACGGCTTAAAAGAAATTGACAAATACGCACCTCTTACCTGTCAGAAAATGAAACCAGAGATATTTCATAAAAGAAACCCAAACACAGCTATTTTATTTTACTCCAGAAGACAAAATTGAGTAATTGCCTCTTGGTGCCGTGCCGGCCTCGCAGCGCAAAGCGCGGCTTCAATCTGGTTGAAATTAAAAGCCAACTCCTACATCAGGCCCCTCTTCAGGGCAAACAGGTGTATGGCATTGGGCGCGTTCAGTAGCGCCTCCCTTGCCTCCGAACGGAGTGCCTCGAGTCGGAGTCATCGGAGCGCCTACTGAACGGCAAAAAAACCCGCGGCTCCAAACCTGCTTCTACGCAACTTCCGCTTCCTCCCCTGTGCCAGACGGTCTCCGAATAAACTGGAAGCAGACGATGGCGAGCACGATCGCTTTTATTTGACGCCGGTTTCGAAAAAGTCTTTACAATGTCGTTGAAGAAAAAGCGGGTGATTGTACACATCAGCGCTGCTGTTCGAAGCGATGCAACGCGATCGAGCCCTTCACTTGGCGGTGCAAAGGCAGCTACTGTTATAAAAGCCGACAAAGAACGTCGTCAGTACACGCAAAATACAGAGCTCAGCGAATCTACCCCGCCGGTTGCGATACTTTTATGTGGCCATAAGTTTGTTCTGCCCTTCGTTACGAACTTCCTATAGAATGTATTCGTATACACACGGGAAGTTCGGCCGCGCTCGGCGATCAAGGTTTTTTCGGCCGAAGCGAGCCTCAGCCAACGTGCACCCCGATTTAGCTACGCAAACAAAACATTAATCGGTATCATGCTCTGCGTGAGTGTCCAACCGGCTTCCAAAGTCGCGTTCATACCCTGTTTTGCTCTGTTGAGCGCAGACAGGACTATCGTCAATATTACCAAGTTTCCGTGCAACGGTGATCAAGACACGGCGTCAAATGAACGTTTGCGTTGTTTATTAGCATATTCATACCAAACAAAATATGGTCCAATGCATTTTCCGAAAGAGCCTTACCTCAAAAAGATATTCAAACGCGTTATTCGTCTTACCTTGAGTACTTTTCATTAACAAAAGCGAGCAAACCGCGCAGCCGCGACAGAAGCGAACCAGCTTATCCCGCCATATTGTTTGTTTTTCCTCTTTTAGCGCCGGAAATCGTCACCAGTCAGGAAATGACGTCATTTTAGCTCCTTTGACTCTACGTGCACCGTCTCCGGACTCGGTGCTTCGGAGCTTGACTCCGAAGCCCCGGAGTTACGTGCACCGGAAGTGACTTTTGGCCGTCCAGTGGAAGGAGTCAGTGACTCCTTGACTCCGGGGCCGCTACTGAACGCGCCCATTCAATGCCCTCGAGGTTTTTCCGACTGTCAGACACGGTGTCGTGTCTACTACCCCAATGTCGTCATCTTCATTGCTTAGGCTGCATGAGGGCACTTGGGGAGCAACAGAGGCAACAGTGTCATCATCTGACCTGTCCTGTGACGTCGCTGCGATCTTCGCTGTCATCCAAGCTTTTGTATTGCTGCAGTAGAGGAGTCCCAAAGGCAGTTGGCCACCCTTAAAACACCTTGGCTTCTCAGGCTTCCCAATCACCGGGAGTGGGGGCTTTTCACTTCCAGTCATGTTGAGAATAAATGCAACTGAAATTCGGTCCTTGGCGTTCTTGCTGCCCGTGCAAGCTTGCCCCTTAAAAACAAGGGTCCTGTTCGGCAGCAGCTTGAAGAATAACGCAGACTCGTCCAGTTTAAAGATGTCTTCGGGGGCATATTCTGTTAAAATTTCCTGCAACTGCCCGTCCTGCCACTCTTCTGTGCCATCCGTGTCTGCTGCTGTACCTTCTCCAGAAATGACTCTTGTGGCGATGTTGTAGCATGCCCTGAACCTCAACAACCAGCCATTGCTGCTAACGAATTGGTCGTCACACAGCTGCGTAGCGAAGAACCGCGCTTTCTCGAGAAGGAGACCACTTCTCGACAGGTTTTCTGTTCTTGCTTTCTTGAGCCACCTTTACGTCGGGAAGAGTCTATCCTCGCACGCGATACTTTTTGACATTGCTCGCTGCCACACTCATCAGCTTTTCTTGTGCGTTCCATACACCGCAAACAATGGTTAATGGTAGTCCCTTTCATGTGCCAACACAGACTTTTCTGTTCCAGACTCGATGGACTTGATAATATCCAGCTTCTTGATGCTAAAAGTGCTGAGTTTTCGACATCTCGACATTGTCACGTCTTTGCGCACACAATGCACTCTCTGCACACTTGGATATCAAACTGCTGACGGTTCCCAGAACACAAGTGTGCCACGATCCGGGTGCCTGCAGCCTGAGCCTGAGCAGCAGGAGAAATCCCGTTGAGAAAACTGCAACTACGGGCAACCAATCGCAAGTTCGCAACCTCCTGCGCAGCCCACCAAGCCAGCCAAGCCTCCGACCGCGACAACATCGACAACGTTGTTCACTGGTTCTCCGCTCCTCCTCTCCCACTAGCCAGGCCCGTAAATGCCGCAAACCACGTCAACTTCGTCAACTACCGCCACTCTTCCCCCGCCAGCAACGTTGCCGATGTTTGTTGGTTCGCTGCTCACCGGCGTCGAGTTGCGCGGCGCTGAACTTGCGCTTTCGCCGTCGCACTGTGGCTGGGTCGAACTGTGCGAACTTCGCGTGTTCGCTCTCTTGCTATTTTTGCGCTTAGTCGGATAGCCGGCGTCGGCCGTGGTCGCTGCTGCTGGTACGCGGCTTTAGCACTGCCGCGCACCGCAAGCGTGGCAGCAACTTTGAACTTAGTTCGTAATGGGAAGTGAAAACAGGGCACGTTGACCGGTAGGTACACGATAAGCGACTAAGCATTAAGTGGGCATTGAATGCATTAGGTTTAACGGGAGACGTGTCAAGGATCTGCAGGTACGTGGTACTGAGGTTTTACTGTACTTCGTTTCACGATAACTTGGGGAACTGCGGAGGCTACAGCCCCTCCGACCCAATAAGAGCGTCGAAGCGAGGTACATGACACTACGTTATAGGAGCTTGTGTGTCGCTACGAAGGAACTAGCTGTTGTCTGCTGCGAAACCAACAGACTTCGGAGGATTGTCCACCGCTGCAACATTGACAATCACTAGAATAGCGAGCACCTCGGCAACAGTTTGTGAGACAACCATACACTCAATTTCCCCGCTAATCTTTGGCGGGCACTAATGCCAGGGCAATGTTTTAGCCGGAAGCTGTCGATTACGCGGCTGCAATTCTCAACGGCCACGGCACTACATGGAGAAAGGATGGGAGCGGATACGGATGAGGCGTCACTTTTGTGACGCCTCATCCGTATAAAAAATTGTTGAGCGGCGCTAATCGCTCGATCATTTTTTTTTTTCTTTTTTTTTTTTTTTCGGTTTATGGGCGACCCTACTTGGTCCCATTACCTTGACGTCGTCTTTGTGGTCGTCCTAGAAGTCATCCTAGACCTTTAGAAAAACCTCACTTGTCACAATATTTTAAAAACAAGCCGCGTCAACAGCGTCGTTGTTGTGCCTGAAAGACGGCCATAAAAATATGTAAAGTGTCATCAGCGTGAATTCATCAAGTGTCATCGGCGTGATGTCACCGCTGGAGCGCTGTTTGCAAAAACTGCGCTTCAGACTTCATCTGCGCTTGTGTGCTTTGTGCGATAAACTCTGAGGCGACTGCGTCTACATCTACGGCGGCTTCCGCAGGCAAACGTGGCTGCCCATGCAAATACACCACAGCCTCCTTAAGTGTCCTCGACGTCGTTCCTGACGTCTTCCTAGAGGTCGTCCAAGACATTGTCTTCTAGGCATTATCCTCTAGGTGTCGTTCTCAGCGTCGTCCTAGAGGTCGTACTAGAAGTCGTCCTATACGTCGTTCTTGAAGTTGTCAGAGATTGTCCTCGATGTTGTTTTAGACACCATACTTGGCGTCAGTCTTGGGGAAATCGTCCTCCATGTCGTCCTTTACGTCGTCCTAAATGTCGTCCTAAACTTTAATATGTGTAGAAACATTACTCGAAAACATTTCTCCCATGAGACTATAATGCTTTTGCTTTCCTACACGTGAGCAGTCTTGCGTGTACTCGTGTAATTCGTTTCTTTCTTTGTTGGCTGTAAATCTTGACATCCGCTGTCGGCACCAGCTGTGCTGTCTTTTACTACAGAAACTGCAGATACTGCAGCGTTCATTGATCCATAACGCTATTTGCACACTTTTGCAGAACAGCTTGTGTTGTATCGATAAAAGTCAGTTTCGAAGCGCGCTGCTTGCAGGATGAGGACAAAATGACACGCCAACAGCAGACGCCAAGATCTACAACTTGCACCAAAAGAAAAAAAAAAGAAAAAAATAAACTTACCGCGATAATGCTGGCAAGGGTGCCCGCATCACGGCAACTTTGTTACTTAAACTAACAATTTGGCCGGTAGCGCCCAAATGCTTGTATCTTTGTTACAGCTTGCAGTTATAACATACAGCTTGGAGGTTGAACATCAATTTCGGAAATGCAATATGCCCTCTGAAGTCGTTATTAAAAAGTTCATTAAGTTATCTTCGTTAATTGGCAGTCTAATCACACAAACAACCTTGTTTCTAATGGTCGCCAGGTCGGGTAAGCCAATCCGAAAATTAAGTGTCCTAATGCGACTTATTTTTTTAGAAATTTGTTGCAGCAAAGTTTCAATTCAAGCAAATGATTTCTCATCCCGCATGTGATTTCAGAGGAAATGAGTCTATTTAAAAGTTTATTTTTCTAATTTAAAAAACAGTATTTACCATATGATATACTCACAAATTACATTTTTCACCTATTCAAGATAGGTAATTAGATATTGACTCCCTTTACTAGAACAGAGTTACACGGTGTGCATCCAATTTAAGTACCATAAAATACTGTCGCAGTCAGCGCCCTCCCGCTACTTACGAAATGCAAGAAAAATGAGCCCAGAACATGGCAAGCACCCACTCCAGAATTCTGGGCTTACCTCGCTAACCGAGATGCTGATCCGCATATGCCGCTTCTCCGAGCACCCCTTTGCAAAGCAGTGAAGCGCGTCCTATTATGTGCCTCTTCAGCATTTTTACAGCAATGGCTGTTGCGGGCTCTCCCACTGTAAGCGATGTCCGTTGTTACAGTAGAGTGTGGGGCAACAGTCGTCGACGCAAGGTGATAAAGCTTTATACGCGCCAGTGCGAAGTGGTGAAGCTTGCTGCGAGGGTCTCGGCACAAAGCAGGCTTGGTAAACACAGCACGGCTGCTTTAAAAGTTGTTGGTTCTGCCAGGCTCCTATACTGCTCATGTAATATTATGTTGGATCAAATGGGGGTCTACCCTATTGTGTCCCCCTTATGATGTTCCACTCTTGGACCTAAGAAGTGCCCATTCCTATTTCTTTTTGCAATTATCACCAACTTGTGGGTCAGTGCGTGCTCGGTTTTTACGGTTGTTAATTTGGGTAACTGTATTAAGCGCAAACTACCGCCTCGCCGAACCGCCGTCACACGACATTGTCGACGTCAATTTTCGGACCTAAATTTAGCGGGGAAATTGACATTGCATGGAAAGTAACTTTCCCCGACGAGTTTGGCGAGGAGATTGATGTGAACAGTTCTTTGCAACAATTTTCTTGTGAAATTCGGCGCTCAAAACTCTCTTTGCGTTCAAAATCCGCATTGTGGTCCCTTAACGAAGGCTGTGTCCCCACCTTCGTTGCAGAGAGCCGCTACTCGTGCGACGAAGAGCAGGACATGTTCACGCACACAAACCTGACGGACCTCAGCCGCAGACTGGAGGAGGACCCCATGGGGCGCTACAGCGAGCTGTACCGGCGCAACTCTATGCTGCAGCCCCACCTCAAGTCGTCTTACCCCGTGGAGACACAAACGTCCAAGATCCCGGCCACGCCGCTCAAGGGCACTTCCTCCCATGTGTTCTCGTTTGCTGAAGCGTCGACTTCAAAACAGGACGAGGCGTCCAAGCGGAAGCGTTCGGCGCGCTCAGACAGCAGTGGAAGCGGAGGTGCCACGAGCGGCGCCACGAGCGACGTTGTCACCGCCTCGACACCGCGGGTGAGTTGTCGGACGGAGATCATGAGTTCACCGTCCTAGTGGACAGACACCTTCTACGAGGTGTTTCCTAGCACCGTTTGGGCGTAAAACATTTGTATAGATGAACCAATGAACTCTGCGCAATTGAACTTTTCACAGAGGTGACTTTAGGTGGTGCATCATACTCCAATTGCACTAGCATACCGGGTGCGGCTCTACTACCTAGCATCTTTAGTGCTCCTTGCAAAATTCAAATTCCAAACATACTACCTACCTGAAGTTGAGCATGCGAACCTAGTTCCACAAGTCAGAAATGGTGAAATATTACAAAATAAAGCAAAATCTTTTGCTTTATTTAAACGCGAAACGTGATCCGCAAATATGTCTGGTCAGCTAGCAACTGCTCGAAACATGACTTTATTTTTTTTTTTTTTTTTGCGATGGTCGCTTTTGCAGTAAAGGTTATTGCACAAGTGCTGCATGTTGCCAGTGTGAACGTGCCTTTATTGTCCATGGCGTGCCTCTGGTGCACAATTAATGTGCCTAGGGAGTGCTTTCTTGTAGCGGGACGCGACGTCTCCAGACCGGACATCTTGGGACTGCGATGTAATCTATAAACAGTAAAGAGAAATGAAATTTATGCAAGTGCTGAACCGGGAAACACACTCTGAATCTGAAAGTATGCAGTGAAGCCACAGGAAGTTCAATGGTTGTCCCGGGAGTCGTGAGTCGGCTGGGTTTCTCGGTGCATTCGGTCATTGTTTTGGTCTACGCTTTCTTGCATTTTCAAGTGTCTTAATTATCCTCTTACACTAAATCCCGAGAATGAGGCATCTGAACGTCGGACGTGCACATTCGATCAGCTAGATAATGCAATCTTTAAATTTTTGCACATTAAATGGCAAAAAAATATCCAGCACCTTACACAATGTTAGGACCAGTGCTCAGAAGAGTTGGAAAGCCCGTGAAACACTCTTTCGAGACCAGCCACTTACTTCCACAGATTTTGTGCCTGTCCGCTCAATGTGCCATCCAGTCCCCTAGTGGAGATCGGTGTTTACAACTAGCACAGACATGTTGCCACTTAAGAGTTGGGTTCATAGCGGCACACGAGTTTTGGCCGAAAATTTTTGCTTGCACATATATGAAACTTTGTGTTTTATATTTTTATAGCCTATTGAGCAATGTAAGTATAATATAGTCCTTGATAGGAAGGTGTATGTCATCAGTGACTTGAGCCCATCTATTTTTCTGTGTGTTACAGGCTTCCAAGAGTGGCACATCGAGGACTGGCAGGGTGACCCCTTCAAGCGTGAAGAAGTTCATCAAAAAGACTTTTAAGAAATCTTAAGAACATGATATGCATCCTGCTTGTTTTTAACCTTTTAAATATTTAAATCTTTTTATCGTATATAGTTTGGCAATAAATATGCCTGCCTTATTGCCTGCATACAATGTGTTGTGTGAATTTTGACCGAACATCAAAACCTTAAGCTAAACTCCATCAAGCAGACTTGCTTATGGCGAAATACAAAATAGATTTGAATCTAAACCAGTTGTGGAATGTCTGCAAGTGTGCCTGTCTTTTGTTGCAGTGTTGCATTAAAGGAATTTTTTTATTGTCCCCTTATTGCTCTAACCAGTAGTGTCGAAAGTGCTTGGGAGATGGAAAGTGGAGAGAAAGGTTTTCCTTCTCCTAATTGTTTAGTAGAAACTTCTAAAATATTAGAGGCGATCAGGCCCCTATGTTCAGACGCCAGTGGCTTCACCTTGAGCTGCATTAAGGATGCATTAGTGTTGACACGATACTTCACCTCGTGCTACAATGGAACACAGCCAGAGAAAAAGACCACCAGGTTCGTTTGCGATCCAATCGGACAGCACGTCATTTTTTGTTCCAACGTGCGATTGTCGAGAGTCTGTGCTCTGTTGCTCTTGTCCGGTAAATGTAGGGTGCCATAGATATCGAAGCTGGCCTTAGAGTAGGCCAGAAAAATTGGCACCTCCATGTGGCAACCTCAAAATTTCATGAAAAGTGTATTTGAGTGGGGCATTTTACTTTGTGAGATTTCGAGGTATACCGTAAAATCCTGAATTAACGCCCCCCTTTTCGCCGTAGATAATTGGCAAAAAAAGTGGGGTGGGCGATCTTTCAGTATTTAATAACCAAAATCGCAAACAAAAATCGAGTAACGCGTGCGCCAAAGCAGCGTGGGTTTTTATTTCCCTAGCTCTCATCGCTGAAACCGTCAAACGACACATCGCTTTCGCTATCGAAGATTAAATCTAACGCCTCGTCAATGAGGCTCTCGGGATCCTCGGGTCCATTGGTTACCGAAGCCAAACGGTCGTTGAGCTCGCCGTCCTCGGAACCATCGAGCCTTGTGGATATTCCGCACCATTTGAACGAACTCCGCACGGTACCCGCGGAGACGGAGGCCCACGCCTGAGCCACCAAGTCCACAACCTCTTGACGCGACGGCTTGCGAAGGTTGCCCTTTGGAGTCACCGAACCTTTCCGGAAGAACGATGCCCAAATTCCACGCAGCGCGTCCTTGAAGGGCTTCATCCATGAGACGTCCGCGGGTTGCAAAATAGACGTGCAACCGCCCGGTATCAAGACGACGTCGGTGTCTTTTGCGTCGAGCGCTTCTCGGGCCGCCTCTGTCTTGTGTATGGGTGCTTGGTCCAGTATGAGCAGTCTCCTCACGTCGTCGGCGTTCGGGCCCCAAACTCTCCTAGTCCACTCCAGTAGGACGGGAGAGGTCATCCAACCGTTCTTGGAAGAAGTAACTCGCACATTTGCTGCAAGTACAACAAGTATAACATGAAATAACAGTTCGGGCCCCAAACGCACATTACACATGCTACGCCGATGAGTGAAGATATGCGAACTGCCCGATTTTATGGCCGAGCGCCGAAGCACGCGCAAGTGAGTAAGCTTCGGAAAGCCAGCAAGTCACGCGCCAACTGCTCGTGCGCTCAAGATGGCACCGGCCAGAACGGCTACGCAATCTTTCGGAAATGGGGCGATACAAAACAAAACGGGCTGTGGCGTTTTGTCAATAGATGACGCAACAGTCGCTCTATTTAAAAAAAAAAATGCTGTCAGCCTTATTTTTACGTATTTCTAAGGCTTTGTTTCGACATTTATACCCTGAATGGTGATTAATTACAACATACCTGGAATCCTTAGAGAAAAGAGTACTCTGGGGGGAATCCGGCCGGTTGGCTCCTTCAGTACGATCAAAGCAGGTAGCTTGATGCCCGCTGCCGTCGCGCACAAGGCCACCGTCATCCGTCGCCGAGCACAGCCGGTATTGGCGATGCGAATACTCGACTCGCCGACAGCATTGTTGGTTCTCGCAGCAGGGCAATCCATCCGGACCATAGTCTGATCCATGTTGGCTATGTTGTAGTCCGAGTAGTTGTGCTCCAGGCGCAGAGTTGACACAGCCTTTCGGAACACCGTAATTGCTTCAACGTAGTCGGCAGGCAGCTTCTGACTTTCGTTGGTCCCCACCCGCATAGACACATTAAATCGCTTCTTCCAGTTAGCTATGTACTGGCATGACGCTTGGAAGTTTCCTAGGCCCATCTGTTCTGCCAGTTTCCGCGCATGCTCTTGAAGCAGGCGATTGCTGACTGCTCGACCGGTGGATCTCTGTCTCCAGGAAGTCCATCAGTGCGTCGTCGATTTCTTCACTAAAAACGGGTCGTCCCCTACCTATTGCTCTCTTCAACTTGTTCGTTCCATGGCATTGTTGTAGAAGTACTTGGTAGCTCGTATTCCATTCCCGTACACGCTTCCGGTCAACTTCGAAATGGCGCGCAGTCTTGCTCACGTTAGCTCCGTTCTTGCGGTGCCATCCCACGACTTCCACTTTCTTCTGGATGGTATAGCTGGACCTCATCCCGAGTATACACAAGAAACGTCTTCACAGCTTGCTGGTCGAAAGATTTTCTGGGATTCTCGGGCGACCTGAAGACAACCACTAAGTGACCATCAACGCTTTACTGATGTCATTCAATAAGTGACCTTGACCGCTTTCCGGGTTCCTTCCGTTATCTTATCTCCCTTATTGTGTGTGGCCTCTTCTTTTTGTGAAGGGAATCCTAGGCTTTCCAAACCTTCTCCCCTACCCTCCGGCACCTTTCTCAACCTTCGGGCATCGCTATTTTTGGAAGGTGGGCGAACTATCAGTATTCGAGGGAAACACGTGTTCGAACATAAAAGCGGAGTGGGCGATCTATCGAGTGTGGGCGCTATTTCAGGATTTTACGGTAGTTCCTATCCTGCGGAAAATTGGACCAAACTTGCCAGGGTCGGTGGCGGACGAGTCGATGCAACAAGCGCGGACGCAACGCTTGTAACTTGTGGCACCATCTCCTGATAAACTCAACAGGCAGACGACGCACTCGACCGTGTAAGTAAACCAGCTGGTCGTCTGTTCGATGAGTGTTTTGGGAGATGGCATTAAACTTGCAAACATTGAAGTGCTAGATGGATTTTATTGAGCTTCAAAGCACCGCCAAACTGGTATACATGCTGACATAGTTTTTGCAGACTCTAACCAAAGTTTTGTTAAAAATGCACAGACCCGACGTTTCGGGACCCGCTCGGTCCCTTGGTCACGGGTGACTGTAGGTAGCGGCGCGGTGGGGAAGGTTGCCCAGGTGGTTGGCCTTGCTAATGCTTGATCCAGAGGGTGCAATCGGTCACTCGTTCTTTCTGAACGGAGTCTATTATGAACTCCCGTGGCACCTGACCAACGCAACAACTGCATACCAAACTGCCCTGGACGCCCGTATCTCTCCAATCACTGCCTCCCACCCACACCGGTTCGGTGGCTAGGCGTACAAGGCTGTTTGGCTCCTTTTGCTTGCTGGGGAACTTGCACGAAGTTCTGATCCCGGCCCCACCTGTCCCCACTGCTCAGAGTGTCATTGATACCGTACCAGCATTATAGCATGACCCGTGTGAAAGGTGGCATTGCTGTAAGTGCAAGCTCCCATCACTCGGGTCATATCGGCGCCTCTCCTCTTCAACCGAACCCTAGTTTTGCGGCGTATGTCGGTTGTTGCGGTTTGATGAGGCGCTCGTTTCTTTAGCCGGAGCCGATGGTGACATCCCGCCTCCTTGGTCTGGGACACCCCAGTGTGCCCTGGAGGACACTCGGCAATGACCCTCTCGCACTCGTAACCCCACTGCAAGCAACCACTTCAGCAAGTCTGTTTTGTTCTGGTAGGCCAATTGCCATAGTGTGAAGGACAAACTAACTGATCTCAAACTTGTCTCGTTGGCTCTCCCCAATAGTAGTACTGCGTTCCTTCTCACGGAGATGTGGTTGGACGACTGTTCATGACGCCGAGCTTGCGGCCAGGCCCTCGTCACAATTCATCGGCACCACCGTCTCTCTCACGGTGGTGGTATGCTGATCGCCGTGCCGTACAATCTCCCAGCCGTCGGAAGGGACGACCTCGAGCACCCGGAGTTAGGAGCAATATTTTTCTGGAACTTCATCACCCGAAGGGTTGCTCTCTTCCCGTCTGCCTATTGTCCGACGTCCACCCGGGTTCCTGTCAACGAGCTACTCGATGCGTCTATCACGAAGGCGCTTATGAAGTCTTTTTAGGAGGTGTTTCTGTTTGAAGACTAACAGCCACATTGATTGGTGGAGTTATGACGCTCTCATCCCCTTCCATGCAGCTGACGGCGGTCTATTGTGCCTGGTGTCAACATCGAAACTTTCCCAGATCTGCCACTCTCCCACCTACATCCCAAACTCCAGTTTCGTCAACCTTGCATTTGTGTCACACCCATCCTAAAGTCTTTCGTGCGATGTGTACTCTGGTCTCTCTGGGAGTGATCACCTGGCCACTGAGTTCACTTATGCTCTGGTTCTACCTCGCAGAGGTCACTTCGCTCGTGTGATATAAAAGTTCACCAGACAGATCAAGATCACATGGCCAAACTCGCTCACCTAGCCCCATGGTGCATGACCACAATGGTCGACAAGCGTTTTGCTAACATGGACCTCTGGTGCAATTTGGCAGATGCAATTCAGTTGGAGTGTATGCCTTGTGTTTCTACTTGAAGGGGACAAGCTCATGCTCCTTGGATCACAGAGGGTCACGTTTGTGCTGCTCGTCAGAAGGAGACTCTTTTCAGTATGCTGTCCGTCTGCAGTGTGCCGCGACACTCGCGCAGGCTAAGGCACTTCAGTGTTCCCTTATGGCTGTCCTGCATGCTGCCAAGGTTGCATTTGCCAAGTCTGTCATTCTCCACGAGTGCAAGGAATCGAAAGTTGTTTGGTCTTGTCAGTCAGCATCAAACTACTCGACATGACCCATCCTTTACACCAAATGGCAAGATTGTCACCCTCCCTGGGGAGATCGCCAACATGTTTGGCAGCCAGTTTGCTTCGGTTTTCTCACCTGCCTCTGCTC